GGGGGGGGACGCGCTGCTGGTGCTGCACATCGGCGACATATCGTACGCGCGGGGGTACGTGTGCCAGTGGGACAGCTTCTTTGAGATGATCGAGCCGCTAGCCGCGCAAGCGCCGTACATGACGCTGATTGGGAACCACGAGGTGAGGGGGGGGGCCGTCAAAACGGACACTGGGAGAATGAGGCTTCAACTGTAGTTCGTTTTAAACATCACGATGGCCGTATTGCGGAACGAGGCGCAGCTGGAGCATTTACGCGACAATGCACCTCCCCTCTACAACCGGCAAGGAGCCGACCACTTTTCATTTGAGAGAGAGACCGCATCATTTGCCAAACGTTTCAAATTCTCAAAAGCATCACCCCGTTGCGCACTCACAAACTCTGCAGAGGTCTCGGTCCTCGTACAAGAGCAGCATGATCAAAAGCGACGTTGTCTGAAAAACAGAATTCTTACAGGTCCACTGGGCCGCGGTGACCAATTCAAATTCGAACCTCCGGACTTTCTGCTGCGCAGGTAGACTGGCCCGCATCCGGCTCCCTCTTCGAGGGCTACGACTCCGGAGGGGAATGCGGCGTCGCATACTCTCGTCGACTCCCCATGCCAGCCCCCAGATTAGACTCTTCAGGTTTCCCACCGGGTCAAAGTGCCTTGTTGCTGAAGAGCCTGTGGGGCGGAAATGCGCCCGGCGGAAGTGGCCGGGTGGGCAGGATCCGAGCTCCCTGGTACAGCTTCGACCACGGGATGGTGCACCTGGTCATGATGAGCACGGAGCACGACTTCAGGTGAAAAATTACATTGACTCTGAAGATCTCATCCTCTCTAGCTGTTTGGCTCGTTTCTGAAAAAGGTGACCTAAGAGGCGGCAACTTCAAGAGGCGAGAATAATTTGAGAAGGGGCGAAGTCTAAGATTCGAGCAACTGGATTGGGTCATTTCATTCTGATTCTCTGCCACAGATGAGGTATGCACTCTAGTCCAGAGCTTGAGCCATCTTACACTGCTGCGCATCATGACGACAACGACGCAAATCTTGACTGTGTTCTATCCCCTCAAGCATTGTCTTGCCACGCATAGGACGACCATTTGGCCCTCAGGCGGGGCCCTGCCGTCGTTGGCACACCGCGGCCCAAACGTCCTCGCCGCTTCGGTTGCTTATCTCAACGGTCCGCTTTTGCAGGCGAGGCTCAGAGCAGTACGCCTTTCTGGCGGCCGATCTGGCCGGTGTGAACAGGCTCCGGACGCCGTGGGTGGTGTTCAACGGGCACCGTCCGATGTACATTGATTCTATCAACGACGACGAACCGGACGGGGACCTGCCGGTGGGGCGGGAGCTGAAGCGCTGGATCGAGGTACGCGTGAGCCGCATTTGCGAAATGAGTGCTGGCTTCGCCCCTGAGTTTGAAGCAACGTTTGATCGATAGGACTTTGTAAAAGCACAAAAAGATTCTCCGCGTTCAATCTGTGCAGGGAAGTTTGAAAGTTTCGGATTAATACCTGGTGATTAGTGGGCAAAACCGGTAGAACTGTTGCTCACGACTTTGCATTTGCACTACTGAGTGTGACGCGCCGCCAACCTGCCTTTCCGCTCCTCCGTCCTTTGTCGACCTGTTACTAGTTCTCAAGTCAAATCCGTGACATGAGACAATCTGCCGTTCCGCGCCTCCGTCGTTCGTTGACCTGCTACTACTTCTGAAGTTAGATTCTGCGCTTTGGGTTACTCCTTACAGCCGCTGTTGCGAGAGTACAAGGTCGAGTTGGCGCTCTGGGGTCACCACCATAGCTACCAGCGCACGTGCCCCGTGTATCAGGACCGCTGCATACGAGCAAATGCGGATGACAGCTTTGCGGCGACAGGTATGTGGACTTCGCGTTCGTTAACTGAGAGAACTGAGAATTGAGAGCGAGCAACTATAACGATCGTGGCTTCTAGCTACGGCGACACGCAGGTTCTCGAGTCAGCAAATGGAGGGCGATCGAGCGTTTGCTCCTACTTTCAATGCTCAGAGTCCGAGGGGCAAACAGAGCCGGTTGCATAAATCGTGTCACGAGCTTGACGGTCTCATAATAACGGGAAAGTTCATCCCAGTCGGCTTCAGTCAACCGACGCACGCTGAACAAGCATTCTCCGAAACAGATTAGTAATCTTTGTACGGCCGAGTTCCCGAATGAAGTCGATGCGCACTCGTGGAGCGTGAGATACGCATTGCACAGGTGCTGCTTCATCCTCTCACCATGTTGAACGGTGCCATTGGTCCTCAAAAGAGGGGGTGTGTGGGTGTCCGAAGTTTGACCCGTTTGGAAACACTGTAACAACTGCTTGCGACTCTGCCCCGTCTCTCTTCTCAAGGACAGGTTCATTTTCGTTTCATTCGTCTGATGTACTTTGCGCACTGCGCCAGTCTGCCAGTAATCATATCGATCGGCCGCCTGGCGGGGCCGGCCTTTGACAACCATCCAATCTGAGATGAGCCTGTAAAAGCAGCGACCCACCGTTGCCACCTGTTGCAGTTCATTTGGTTATCGGCATGGGGGGCGCAGGCACGTGCCTCAACATCAAGCCGGTGGCCCCTGGCTGGACCGAGTACGTCAACGTCGAGGTGCGGCTCTCATAAGCTATATCAAGGCTCCTCCAGCGAGGATTTGGAAAAGCTCTGCATTCCCGTTGTCATTCGACGACTTTGCGGATTGAGATCGCGGATCCAATTTTGGCTCTTGTCTGGACTATTGGGCTTGAGTATCTCGATGTAGGTATGAGTCGGTCGGCTGTCTGTGGCAACTGCTCGCCCCTTTGCCAGCTGCACGTCAACGACTGCCGCAACGGCAGTCCTCTAAAGTGGAACCTGAAAATGTTTTGCCGAAGCCCCGAGCTGACGTCAGCCTTGCGCTGCATGGAAGAGCGTGGACCCGTCCTCTCGTGCTGCACGTGTTTTGATGCTGGCATAGCCGTGGCGAAGACGTCTCCTTCGTGCGGACTTCAAACTCTCTCCGTCGATCCCATTGATTCTTCCTACTCTGTAAGAACTTTGGGCGCTGACTTTCACTGCTTCGCATTGGTTCATGGTGCTGCCTCTGTTTGAAAGAGGCTTTCGAGACTAACTTCACGACACGTGCTTGAATGCAATGCAGCAACACGGTTACCTGCGCATGACGGTGAACGAGACACGACTCCTCTTCGAGTTCATTGGGTGAGTTTGCGTCCTTGCTACATCTTGTCGTGCTGGTAGTCCGATTCGATAACAGAGGATTGAGGAACTAACTTGCATCCATTTTGTCACGCCTTTTGTATGTCGCTGCTTCGCTGTATGGTCTGATCGCATCCTCGGTGTGCCGCCTTCCCGATGCAGGAACAACGAGGGCTCTGTTCTCGACTCGGGCGTTCTGACGAAAGCGCCGTGATGCGGAGCAACATTCAGGGCTGAAAATGGGCGGAGTTGGCGCACTCAGACTAAGCACGCACCGCTATTGTTGAGACTGCGTTTGCAGGCGGACGGCAACACGTCACTGTAAGTAAAACCTTCTTGAGTTGAACAGACTAACTTACTGGCACTCACTGCGAGTTGACGGGCTTTCCGTACAACTAAGCTCCGTGGGTTGAGGCGAGCTAAGCGGATGATAGCGACATGCCGACTTCGATCGGACTTTTCGAATTCACACTTTCAGCATCTGCAGCGCCTTTCTTAAAGATTGCCGAAAAGTGACAAGTGGTAAAGCTGGAAGAGACTTACATGCGTGCATTGAGATTATGGGTACGTTCTTCTGTATTTAAACTGCGCTTTCATCAGATTCCCTTTGAAAGCGGGTTGAAACGCCATGCGACTTGCTTTGTCCCCTTCGATCGACAGACGCCACCTTCTACAAAGACCGACATGGCCAGCAGGCGGCATGTCAGTGCAGCGAATGGCCCGAGCAGTATGTATCGAGCCTCAAAAGACTTTGATTGCAACGGCCTCCTGAATTGTAGCCAGGCAACTTTGTGCATTCAATGTTGAGCAGTACGCTGATCTAGATGCACTAGCTCTTGCGAGAGCTCTGTTGCGCAGACAAGGCGCAATCACAGGACCCCTAGGCTTGGGTCATTGCATATATGCACATTTTGAATTTTTGAATATGGATCACAAGTCTAGAAATTTGTTGCATCCGGACTCAGGCACTTCGATTTGCTTTGGCTAAGCCGCCAACTGCAGGCAGTGACTTATCGTTGATTCTCTCGACTGGATAAAGTCACTATAAGGCCATGCATGCATGCCGCTGCGTATATCATGAGATAGATCTGAAAGTGACCCAACGATCTAGATGGCGGGTCGAAATCCATCGTGCAGTCTCTCATAAGGTGACTCATGACTTGCGAAGCGAAAAAGGTGGGGCTCTGGATCACACGTGTTTCTGGGATCTCCGACCCCCGTTTGACCATGCCCCAATGGGTGGCATTGAGGCCCAAGCATGCGAACCAGATATTGACGTTTTAAGCTACTTGCAAAGGATTGCTTAGTACAGCGAAAAAGCGATGTCTGGACCCGATGAACGACCGAAACATTGTTGTTTTCACTTCGTTTGTTGGAGCGTGCTGAGCTTTTGTAACCATCATACACACGAGCGCATTTGTACGTCGAGATCCTGATCAATGACGTCCAGCGGATCAAAGTCCCATTTGCAGTTAGGCTCACAGTCGATGTCGACATCAGTTCCACCCAGCCAGTTACACCGTGCATATGCAGCTCTTAGCTCCCTGCCACTAGGGCGCAGAATGATGACCAGACACCGACGCGAAGATCGTCCCTGCATTTTCAAGTTTTGTGGCCACCGTTGGGGGTTAAGGCTGGGTTTGAAGAAACGGCGAGCCAGAAAACCTGAAGTGACCTGAGGGTTGAAATTTACGTTAAAAGTCTGACCAGGTTTACTAGAAGCTCCTAAATTAATCAGGGAGTCTAAAGCTTGGAAGGCGGGAAGCCCGCCAAAACAAGAGTCTGCTGCAACTACCGCTCGCAATCGCATTCGAAAGGCAGCACAGCGAGCAAGCTATCCTCCAGATAGCTTCAAGCTGCTTTCGATCGGCGCACGCGAATCGATTTAGGATGTCGCAAAGGCGCTGAGGAGCGCATTGAAGCGCTGCAAAACCGCTGCTTCGAAGGGTGGTTTTTACGGGATTCGTTTTGTGCTGCACAAAACAGGATTGATGAGGTTGATGGGGGCAAAGTGTGCGGATCACTCTTCAAAAGAGCTGCCGGTGCTTTAAAAAGAGCAACAGTCGAAAGGTGGATCTTGCATTGTCCGAGAGGAAGGGAAGGTTGCTGTCTCTTCTCTTCTCCAGAGCCTGTGCCTAGCCTGAGGCTGTGACTGTGATTCAATTCAGATCGAGCCAGCTAAAATGAAGCCTTCAGGAGCTCGAGGGAGGAAAACCTCGAGGATAACCCCGATCTACCTTTTGTCCCTGCTGTCGCTTGCAGCCTCTATAGCATATGCATTCATCGCAATCATGCACAGCTCGAGGACGCCAGTTGAAGAGAATCATTCGGATGCACTCTTTGGAGGCGTTGTGAACGACGTGATCTCGACTGGGATGGGCTTGACGAAGACGGATTTTGAAAAAAAGCCTTTGACAGCTGCTCCTATTCGCATGGAAAGATTCAGGAACTCAGTCATTAGCTTCCTCCAATTGAATTCCACAACCGTGGAGTGGTTCCCGAAAGATAGCAGGAAGCATGTAAAGAGAGGTCTTCTTTCAGCAGCTACAAGTCTGTGGTCTAAAGCTGATGGCCCTCAGGGAAGTCCATTCCTGATGGTCCATTTCGCTCATCATAAAACAGGAACTGCATGGTTCTCAAGAGTCTTCAGGTGAGTAGCTTACAGCTCGTCATAATATTTTAGGTTTATTTTCATCATACTTATTCTTTCAAATCGATTCTGTTAGATCGTCAGATTGATTAATGTCAATCCAGCAGCAGACCTACTGTAGGCAGACTTTCTAAGTTTGATACCTTCATCTCCTTGCTTTTTGCAGTTTACACGCACTAAGGAGCAAGACGAGCTTTGCAAAAGATTCTGAGGAATCGTGCCTGAAACCAAAGGTCAGGATGTGCCAGGTAAGATGTACGGAGAAAGAGGCAAGCAAAATGCAGGTTCTTTTTATCAACAGCAGGCTCTTCAAAAAGAATCTCAGGGTATGCTTGAACGATTGTATTTTCTGTGAAGCACGAAGTACTTTACTACACGAAAAAATCAGCGATATAAATGAGGCCACTACTTTTATCCTGGGTTTTTCCATACTTGCAGCTCAACAATGCCGCACCTGGTGTGCTGCAAATGCTCTCTGGAAGACCATTTAGAGCCATCTTCACTGTCAGAGACCCAAGGGACGTTGTTGTATCAGGTAGGATATTTCCAACGCTACTCCAAAGGTACTATGCTTCACTGGATTGTGATGATCATGAATGCTGTTTTACGCTGCTTTGATGCGGTTCACTTAGCGACCCTTACGACCACGAAACATACAACGTAGAAAATACTGCAGCCCCGATTGTAGCCAGATTTGTTTGCTCATTTCTTTATGGACTTTCTTTGCAGCTTATTTCTACCATAAGAAGGGACTTGAACCATGGCTCTTGGAACCGCGAGAGGAATTCGAGGGGAAAACAATCCATCAGGTGACAAGGAAGCTCCCCCTCGATGCACTTATCAAAATGTAAACGTACGGAACCCGTGTAACATTCAATGCCTTCAGATCCTTGTGCAAGAACGGCGAACTTTGATTTTCATGTTACGTAAATCGGATGAGAAGCAGCCGCAGGAGTGGTGGAAGAGAGGGTCGCCGCACATAGCCGGCCTGATAAGACAGAGATTCCTGGGGAATTCATAACGCATCTGGTAATCCTTTTCTTTCCAGGTGCTCAACTCAGTTGGAAAGACCAAAGGAATGAATCTGGAAATTGACCTCTTGACGGGTGGAATGTGGGAGTCGGAACGCAAAGGTAGTGCTCTCCAACTTTTTCATTTACGTGTTTGCAAGCAGCAGTCCTCTCCTCTAAAATGCGTGCTGGTCTGATAGGGCATTCTCGTCAAAGTAAGTGTGCGGGTTGTGAAAGCCACTGCAGCTGACATGCATCACATAACGTTTTGCGACTCCTCCATTTTCAGGAGGATATGCAACGGCGCTTCGTGCATTCATGGCTGAGTATTCAAAAGATCCCAGAGTTGCATTCGTCCGTTACGAAGACATGTGGTATTGGGAGGACAGACGGCTCGGACAGTCCTTTGCTGCCATTGGATCTTGGTGAGCAACACTACTCCTTCGCTTCTGCTCCTCATCTGTAACCTTCTGAATGAGTCGCCAGCTACACAATCACTGTTTCGGTGACCATTCTGGTGAACATTCTGATCTTGCAATGACCAGCTTAACTTGCAAAAGAGCACTTCGATCAGTAAAAGGTCTCAATCTTGTTGCCTGTCAGATGTTAGCGAAAGCATCCCACCTTTGTCCATCAGGTACGGCATCCCAGCTGGTCAGGAACTCAAAGACTTTGTCCAAGCGGCAATCAAGGTCGGCCAGGAGACTGCAGCTTACCGGACGCCTGCACGATCTACCCTGGTCAAGGAAGACAAGGGGAACCGTCACTTCCGGAAGGGCACACCAGGCGACTGGAAGAACCACTTCAACTGGCAGAACAAAGCTTACTTCCGCACGAAGTTGGGGAACCTGCTGCAAGAGCTTGGCTACGAGTCTGACGATAGTTGGTGACGAGCTTCGTCCGAGATTTTTGTAGAAGTGGTGTTGAGTTGATAAGGCGTTTCAAATGCTCTGTAATGTAATTTACAGTCTGGCACTTATCCAGTTTGTCACAAGCTTCAACGCTCTCGAGTTGACGAGCTTAACGCGCAGTTCTCTTGCAACTATGAACCAATTGCTGTTCGGCCTGTCGTCAAATGGTTTCATGCATCTAAGAATCGGGGCCGCCTGCACAAAAATCATCCATATGCGCCACCTCCTTCTCAACTCCTCAAGTTGGCCACTTGCTAGGATGCAATCCAACACATTCAGTGACCCAATTTACTGAGTGCTCGGCTCAAGATGCACATGCGACGTTTGTGTAAAAGCCATGCAGCCAGCCGTAGGGCGCAACAAATCGCATTGATCGTTGCGCTTATGAGACAGTTTTTCCATCATTCCACCACTTATGTTGCTTTGTTGAACGCATCACTCAGCTAGAAGCGCTGGTAGCTTTCGAGATTCCGACATATGTGATTAACGCAGTTGTTGGCACGTATACAGGAAGAAAATCACTGCGATTGTTCAGAGTAAAGTGGCTTACTTCAAACTCGTCGATCCATGCTTCGGTACGGGCTTTATAATGTGATGTATGTATGTATAATCTTCATGACATGTTTTTCAACCTCATGGCAGGCGGCTTTGCGCATCGGACATTGGTCAAAACATCCGTTCGAAAATCACCGGTTGATTCAAACATCGGGAAATTCTATGATCCAAAGCACTCGGCCCAGTTTATGGAAGCCTACACACAGTTAGATTTCTTCGACCGCAGTCTTCCGACCTGAAGTGTCAGCAGCTAAACGTACCTTGAAATACATGATGTTCCCTGCGTGTGGCTAAGGTTATCCGTGATTGTCGTTTGAGCTAATGCCTTGAAACCGAGGGTACCAATAAGAGATGAACTGGATCTGAGAGTTTTGGATTGCTAACCTCCTTCTAACCTCTTTTTCATACCTGAAGCGAACCGAGCTAGGAGAATGAGGCCTGCTCGCATACATACGGACGGCTTGACGGTTTCAGGCGTACCTCTGCACTTTTGTCTAGGTGGATATCGCTGAAAGACTTACCCGCTTACTACTACCTTTTTGTCACCAATCAATTGCTCAGCTCCTATGTACACACTGTCCGCTGATCCACGGGACGCACTAGCTTTACAGCACATTCTTATATGGTCACAAGGCGTGCTTTCCAGTTCTCTTTGCACTCCTTCTCTATACGCTCGTTGGGGACCAGTTCCTCGTCCTCATCGTCGCAAGAGGTGCCCGGGAAGATGTACCTGCACGCAGATGGAAAGAGCTGTTTGCCTCGTTGGGATTCTACTCAAGCAAAATCTCTGGCATCTTGTCGGACGGAACAAGCAGGTCCTACTAAATAGTATAGGTAGGAGGATGGCTTCCTTTCGAAAGGCCAAAAAAGTTTGAAAAGGAACCGTATCAGGCTCACAAGAGTTTCATGAAAAAAGCTGCTCAAAGAACAAGGTGTCCTGCAACAAACAGCCCTCCATGGGTCAAACGATTTCTTTGAAAAACGACCTGTCTTGTCGCAGCCCTGCTCACGTCCACTTCCTAGTCATTAGCCCACAGCTAGGAGCTGCTCTGTGTCGCATCAGGACGTCAAATGATCGACTCTGGTCACAACTTCGAATCATCAGATCTGCTTTCAAAATCTCACCTCAGAGTCTGCGAGGGTATGTACCGGTCCAGTCCTTTGCTGTAGCTGCAAGAAGTGAAAATGGAATGCCGCAGCATTAGCTACTTGCCATGAAATACTGGTTCCAGCCTGCACGGCTGCTGGAAAGGGGAATCTTCGATAGTGCCTCGCAATCCTTAACCTTTGGAAGGAAGGGAAAGAGTGTAAAGATGCTGTTCCGAGCATTAAGGCCCTGCAAGGTAATTTGGGGTTCTCCTTGGAGAAGCTGACTACCCGCAAGCGAGCCGCACAACGCTGTGCACAATCGAACAGGCTCTGACAACGACTGTCTTTTGGAAATCACCAAAAGGAAAGTCCGAAGTCAAAGCGGGATTCTCAACATGATTCAGCCGTGGCTTTCCAAGCCGAATGCAGGACTCTGGTTCCGATCTGCAGAACTCAGTGCGCTCCCTACAGAACTCGTAAAGAAGAGCGCCGGCTCTTAAAGACAGATGACATCAATGGTGCGCCTCTGGTGTACCCGTGAAGAAAGAGCTGATACTAGTAACTCTTGTGTGCCCTAACAGCTGTGTGCCCTAAGGTTTGCAGACCCCGAGCACCCAAACTAAAAACCCTACGCCAAAAGCTTTCGCGCTCCGCACCCTAACCCACCCTAACCACCAAGCCAACCTAACCCGTTCCTTGGGCGCCTATCTTAAGGCACACCGCGGTTAAGGCACACTAGAATTACCGGAGTAAAGAGCTGCTCACCCTTTCGGGAAGAGCCGCGACTGGGAGCGGCTGTAGATCTGCACCAGGGGCATTTCCACAATGTTGTCCTGCGCTACATACCTGCAGAACACAAATCGACATAGAATTCAACCGAAACCGTCAAGCAAATTTGGCGTTTTGAGGTCAATTTGAATTTTGAGTGTTTTCGGGGCTAGTGTCTATCCTCGCGCTTCTTTCATCTCCATGCTAACTGCGAAGTCGGCGTAGGCTTTCTGTGCTATACAAAACAATCCCTTTACCATCGAGCTAACTAGGATGCCAGGTCAGTGGGTTGCTTCCAGCCTTGTTGCGTGCCGATCGAGCCGATCGTACGCTGCGTGGCCACTTCTAGTGAACAGCAAGCTTAGTGTACAGTAAGCGTTTTGGGGTTACTAAAAACCCCTAACCCAAAAGATCACCCGCTGAGAAACCCGGACCCACCATAACCCCCTCACTAACCGTACCCGTCTCCGTTACTGTTCACTAGCTGTTACTGTTCACTACATCGATCGGCATCCACTTAACGTGATGAGACTACACAATCTGGCAGCTTGACGTGCCATGTGTCTTCGCCACGATACGCTCGAATAAAAAGGACCAACGGCACAGCGTGTCTAAGATCTTCAAGGAGCTTTACTGAGTAGCTACGAACACAGCACTCGATCATGGAAAGCGAATTTGGCAATACGGGGACGCTTCGAGCAGCGGCCTTGTAATTCACCGAGAGAAACTCCGAAAAGCAGCCTGCCGGCACAAGCTGTTGCATAGCCACCATGTGGATATGAGCAGATCGTCTGCGACTGTTTCTGTGGGATTCGTCAGCGACAAGCTCAAGCGGCAGGGTCATTGCGGCGAGTGACCACGTGCAACTCACATCTCATTTCTTGGCTGCCCATCCGACTCGTCTGGTAGCACGTGGTAGAACACCTGGTTCGCTCCTGCACCCACGTCAAGAGAACACTCGGAATTAGTCTATGCTTCTTTTCCTTGGGACCGCTCTTGTTGAAAGCCCCTAGCCACCGATGTGCCCCTAGCCACTTCTCTGCTTTGTTTCATGCAACAGGAGATGTCGTTTCTAAGATGCAAAGATTCGATCCACAATTCGTGCAGCCTCCCTCACTATCCCCTTCAATCGTAGTCAGACCATTGCATAAGTTCGTTGCGATTTGGCGCTTTCCTGAAATAAGTGTCATATCGCCTTCCCGAAATGATGACGAGTCAAGCTGAAAGTTTGAGCTCAAGGTGCGGCAAAATGCTAAACTCTTCAAGCAACCTCGAATTCGTTTACGATCTCATCCCCTGACTGCGCAACAAGAAGCAGGTCTTTCCCCAGATCAAATCAGACCGAGCAATACTTTTGGGCAAGCTCAGTTGGCCACAGCACAGAAACTGCAAGACAAGGAACCCCGAAAAGGGCTCGAACCAAGAAAGTCTCATGAAGGCATTCCGATGCTAACTTTACTAGAGCATAAAGACGAGAGCCGCACCATGTTCCAAATCATCCACGCGGTTCTTCTCCACCCAGCTCTTGGGTCTCTGGCAGGTTGGGTCCCAGCCGAATATGAGGCCCTTGTACCCGTAACGCCGGTGCTGGATCACCGTACCAACCTGGTGCCTTGCTACCGAGCTGTCTAACCGTTCTTCCCGCCTGCAGATACAGGAAAGGGATGAGCCTGATAGAAAACCCAGTTGTCTCTTTTGAATAAGTGGCGACGAACCAAAGGTAGTTGTGTTGAGTATCCCTTTTAGAGAGAAGAAAAAAGGCATTGGGGTCATGGCCAGCACCTGCTGCCATTTTACACGAGACGCAAGAACCTGGAAGAACCTAGAAGGCCGGCATACGACGGGCCTGTGAATGACGCGAAGCAAACGAGAGAAACTTGCACAACACGACACACGCAGCGCTTTTCTCCAAGCAGAAGTGCCTCTTACTGCTTTTTACATACAAGACACACTACAGTGTCCACAGGGGCATGAAACTCACAGCGAAACAACCGCCCGAAGGGCGTTGAAGACACGCAAGGCCTCCAGGCCCCGGTCAATTGCAGTTACTATGGTGGGGCTGCCGGCCGGCAGGTCCTGAGACTGCCGGAAACTCGAGCGGATAAGATCCATGGCTCCTGCATCATACCAACTAAGAAGCAGATTAAAATACGTCGTAGAAAACTCTCACTTCATAATCCTCTAGGATCAATAAGAAAGTTCAAGTTACATCAAACTGAAGCTCACAATAAAAACTTAAACCCAAACATCTGTCCGCTCCGCACCCATGCCCACGCTTAATCCCTCTGATAACCGGCCCGTAACTTTATTCGAGCTTCTCAAAAGCAATCCAAAGACCAGTTCTCAAAGCCCCTCTAAGGATATGGTGCAAGCTACATGCCCAGCTTTGAAGAATGTGTCCAAAGAGAAGCAAGTGAAAAACTAGAACCAAGTCGATGGCAGGCTAGCGCACCAAGTTGTGTCGTCGACGATGCTTTGCTTTGGTCCAGCCAAATACACAGAACTGCCCTGATTGATAGGGCATCACTAGGCAATTACTGCCTCACCTTTTGCGTCCGCGGTGGCAAATTTGGCGCAGTGACCAACGTCGTTGACGCCGCACAGAGTCGCTGTGACAAGCAAACAGCGCCAGTCAGGCGCTCAACTCCTGTAAGCACGTTGACTCGCTTTCCAGCAGCAAATCAGGAGTTGACCTTCTCAGAGGCAGGGACAGGAACTTCGGCAGAAGGTCTCAGCTGTAACACATAGTGCGCCCTTGCAGGGGTCTCGGGAATTATTCAAGACTATAGCAAAATGCTGAGAATGTTGTAAGATTGTCTCACCTTTGAATGAAGGGGGGACAACATGGGTCCATGCATGCCGCAGCGATGCGGACTTTGTGTATGCGAGCAAACTTCGATACAGACCCAGCACCACCGACCGCTCAGACATGGCCATTTCAAAACCCTTGCTCAGCCACAGCTCCAAAGCTCCCAGCTCCCAAGCTCAATGAGTCAAGCTCTGAGCTGCTTCCCTTGCCTTTGATAGAGATGTTGCGCTTGTCGCCAATTCTCTCGCTTGGCCCCAATGCTGCATGCTGTGCAAGAGAAACGTTTTCAAGACATGAGAAAATGTGGTTCACTAGTTTCGACAGTCCTCTTATGGCGTGAGCCATCCATCAACATATAAACTTAGTAGTGTCTTAATATTTGCGCAATATTATGCATATAATAAGCATCAGGACTCAGGAGGCGAGTCGCAAGTTGCAACCTCGAGTTATCAGCCTTCACATGACTGATACCTATCTCTGCCTCTAACGCAACGTCGTATATCAGAGTTTTTCCGACCTACAGGCTCTGGAAAAACGGCCTGATATCTCCACTTCTCGTTAGAGCAATCCCCCTTGGTTCGGCTCCACTTTTGTGCAAGCTGCAAGATTCAAAAAGAAGAGAATGTGCAAGCCGGAACTTGCACCAGCTTGAAGTTGCAGAACATGCTGCGACACTAAATTGACTAATTGAGCAGGTTCTGAAGCCTCTTACAGATTCCAAAGCATAGGAGCGATTGGCGCAAAGTCCTTGTTACATCAAACCCAAGCTCATTTGGTGCAGCTGTGTTTCTTAGCACGTTTAGCCATGGCGTTAGTTAATGCGGTGCGCCATCCCCTTCGTTTCAGAACCACATGTTTCAGCTGCACAATTCGTGGAGCACATGAGGTAGAGTTCCTTCCAAGTGTCAGAATTGGCAGACGCCTGCGTGAGCATAACCGATTGACACCACCACCTTGGCCTTGCTCGGCCCGCCTCTTCTCCACCTTTCCAAAGCTCGAACAGACAAGGCAAAGCAAGAAAGACATTTGCAGAGGCGCAGCGATTGCAAGGGCTGCAACAAAAACGGCGCAGAAGACAGAAACAGCAGAAACTGCGAAAGAAGGTGAAGTGGCGTCATGCAGGGATGCATTAGCGGATTAAAATTGCTGGTTGGTCATTTAACAAGGAGAAGACAGACTCTATCAACTTACTGGTGTGTTGTCATGAATGCTCGCCATACATATGATTTAGACGTTGGCAGCTCAGGGTCATTTTAATGATTTGAGGCCAGAGCCAGCAAGAAGTTTTCTTTGAGTGCAGGTGAAAGACAAATTGGTGCGATCATTCAATGAGTGCATTTATCATTTAGCCTCTCTACAACAAACCCCTTGGTGCTAAAGTTGATTCACTAAGCTGCTTCAGATGAGTGTTGAATGGGTACCTTACAAAACAGTGCCCATCAAAAACCCTTTCAATGTACTCAACTTGTATCTCAAATAGACATCAAACAGATTGACTTGATGACAATGTAGTTTTGACGTCCTGACTTCTTTTTGGAATACCCGAAAAGGCTCTCGATGCATCCACTTGGACGTCCGCTTGGGATGCCCAAGTCAAATGTGGCCCAATCTCAAGTCGTAACTAAAGCTTAGTTTGAAGCAATATGCTGCCCCGTCGCTCTGCATTCTTAAGGACAGCTCCTCTTCCTGTTTCTTTTCTTTTGTTTCTATAGTCCTCTCTTAATTCTCTCTCTATCCCTTTCCTATGCAGCTCACAAACTCACGCCCCTTCCACCAAAGTCACCGCTTACACAACTTATTCTCTTTGCTTTCTCAAGACGTTCTGCAGATTTTCTATGTACAACCCGTCTTCCTTGTTAACAACGCGCAAAGCAGGTGTCTTCAGCCAGGTGCTCAGCTTCAAAAGTCCAATCCAATAAGTAATACAATTGGACCGCCGAAGTCCTTCTGTTTGGAAAAGGGAATACAAGGGATACAAGAAGAATGGCCTCCTTCTGATTCCAGATGCTGGTTGCTTGACCGAAGACGACGAAGCCGAGCCTCAAGATGGCAATGGAGCCAGCCTACAAGTTGAAGACGTCGAGTTGCCCCCAGAAAACGACTCTGATACCGCGGCAGTCAGCTTCACAGTTGTGGGAGCGACAGGCCACCTTGCAACCCAGGAAATCTTTCCAGCTCTCTTTGCCCTCTACTACAAGGGCTGCTTGCCCAAGGTTGGTTTCTGATCCTGGCTGCAAGGCTCTGGTTCTGACTGGATACTCCCTAGCTGGAAGTGAAATCTTTGTAGGCATCCTTTGGTTGTACTTGAGGTTGAGCAACTGAGAATTGGTCAATCAGGAGGGAAATCCTGAAGGTCTAGATTCGAAGTGTCATTGTTGCGCTTTTGGTTGTCGGTTGGTTGCTGGTGACATGCCACAGTCGCTGGTCAGATGTGTCAGCTGACTTTGGAAGAAGCTGAGAAAAAGCTTAGAAGATTCGATGATAGACAATGCATTTGACGTCGCACACGTTTCAACGCTCTATGTGCACTTAACTCATCTATGTAAAGAGATGAGTCCAAATGCTTCTTGAGAACAACTTCTGACTGACACACCCTTGTCTCAATGTGCAGAACTTCTTCATTTTCGGCTATGCTCGAAGCGAAAGCAACGACAAGCAGTTCCGTGAGCTCATTCTGACCAACCTGAACTGCCGGCTGAGCGCAGGGTGAGCTCCGACTCTATCGCTTCCCTTCCCACTCAGCTGGTTCTTTTTCAAGCTGCTGAAGCCAACGTTAAGTGGTGGGCTTCTTGGAGACAAGCTGAGATTTTATCACCTTTTCTTTCTTGCCCACTTTCTCCTTTGACCAAACCAGATGAACCTGTCAGAATCATCGAAACCGGGTGCCCCCAGCCACCTCTCAAAGCCCTTTTTCCCAAAACGTCAGACTGTACTTCACTCTGACCTAGTTCCTAACCTTCTTTTGGAACGTAGTGGCCCCAGCAGACTGCTCCGAAACATAACCATCCCAATCACCAACCCATTCCGCCTAACCATGTGACTAACCCATGCTTTCAGGACCAAGTGCCCCCAGCAGATGGACAGCTTCCTCAAGCGCTGCTTCTACGAGCAAGGCTACTACGACACGTGCACCGGCATGGCCAAGCTCGACAAGCGCATGAAACAGCTCGAGGGAGAGCGCGTCGGCAACCGGGTCTTCTATCTTTCCGTGCCCCCGGACGTGGTCGTGGATGTCGCCACGTGTCTGAGCGTGACGGCGCCGAGCCGCACGGGGTGGACACGTGTCATTGTGGAGAAACCGTTTGGGGCGAGCGGGGATTCCTCCAAGGCCATCACGCAGGGGCTGCAGGAGGCCCTGTCCGAGGAGCAGATCTACAGGTGGGCTGCTAGTGAACACAGGGAACGGACCGTTGTTGGAGCGACAGGGCCTCCGAGTCAGTGGTCTGTCTAAAGGCGCCGCTCTGGTCGGATTGTTGGACTTTACTTACAGTATTTGTTGCTTTTTCTTTCCAACTGAGACAGTGTCCGTTAAATGATGCCACACTGCGCAAGGAGTTCAAAGTACAGAAGAAGGTCTGTCTCCACCTTGTAGATACCTGTGGTGAGAATCTGAACCGCGCCAAGAGTGCGACTCGGACGTCACCTGCTTTTCGTTAACCCACGGTTTGATTTCATTCACAGTCTGGACTGCCCTGCAGGATTGATCACTTCCTAGGCAAGGAGCTGATCGACAATCTGACGGTGCTGCGCTTTGCGAACTTGATCTTTGAGCCGCTCTGGTGCCGAGACTACATCAAAAACGTGCAAGTAAGTTGCAACCACGTCGCTGATGGTTGCTCCGATCGGGATGCTTGTCCCGATTCTTCTGTCTGTTTGGAAGACTTCGTCGATGTTTTACCCAAGAACGTCCTAGAACGAGCTTCTGTATGCAATGTTGCAATAGACAATCTTGGACCGTCGGTCGGATCCATGTATGCTCCGACTCCTTACGTACTTCGAAGACGTCTTGGCAACGGTGGTTTCTAAATGCAAGCAGGAAAAAGGCGAGCGGACTATTGCGGATGGCGTATACACGAGGAGAGGGTACATCGAGCTGCATATAAGAAATTGCTTCAAGCTAGAGGAGGAACTAGAGCGACCTTCTTCTCTGCAGATCGTGTTCACAGAGGACAGCGGCGTGGACGCGCGCGGGAAGCACCTGAACCAGTACGGCATCATCCGCGACATCGTGCAGAGCCACGTGCTGCAGGTGCTCGCGCTTTTCGCTATGGAGCAGCCCGTCAGCCTCTCCGCAGAAGACATCCGGGATGAAAAGGTCGGTCAACGTAAACCCTAAACATTAAGTCGAACGTAATCTTGGAGTTAAGAGAGAATAGGTCTTTTCTTCGTCCTACTTGCAATCAAGATCGGCCCTTGCCTCTTCCCATGGCAGTATCTGCTACCAGTCCGCGAATTCTGAGCATTTCCTCCAAGGGTTCTGGGTCAGAACATGCGCGAAAGTGGGTTCTGAGGGTTGCAGTTCCTTAAAGCTCTGGTGTATGACACCGGTTCTTTAGCTTCTCCGCCTGTAGAAAGACAAGGTTCCCAAGAAGGTGGGGGTTCCGGGACGAAAAGGTCGGTCAACGTAAACCCTAAACATTAAGTCGAACGTAATCTTGGAGTTAAGAGAGAATAGGTCTTTTCTTCGTCCTACTTGCAATCAAGATCGGCCCTTGCCTCTTCCCATGGCAGTATCTGCTACCAGTCCGCGAATTCTGAGCATTTCCTCCAAGGGTTCTGGGTCAGAACATGCGCGAAAGTGGGTTCTGAGGGTTGCAGTTCCTTAAAGCTCTGGTGTATGACACCGGTTCTTTAGCTTCTCCGCCTGTAGAAAGACAAGGTTCCCAAGAAGGTGGGGGTTCCGGTCTTTCTGCAAGCATGATGTCTTGTTCCGCTTTCTTCGAGCTGGGGGTTCCAGATCTCTCAACTCGATGCTCAACTGTCTCTCCAAAATCCTTCAACTCAGCTTGTTAAAAGCCCAGTGTGAGAAAGGAATAATCTCAAGCTTCCATTCCTGGGGCCCTATTCAGGTCAAGGTGCTTAAGTCGCTGCGGCGGCCCACGCTGGACGAGGTCGCCCTGGGCCAGTACAAGGCCCGCACGAACAAGAGCGGCGACATCCTCGACCCGGGATACCTGGACGAACCGGACGTCCCAGCCAACAGCCTGGCGCCCACGTTCGCAGCAATGGCGTTCTACATCGACAATGCGAGGTGGCTTTCACATATAGCATGTAGCATGTAGCAAGTAGCATGTAGCATACATAGCATATAGCGTGTGGCACATTTCTTATCGCATGCACTCTTTGTTGGGAATACAACAATAAGAAAGGCTTGGAAGGACCGGCTTGGAAGGACCGAGGATTGACGAAAGCAAGAGTCATCATCATTGTTCACTCTGTTCGTGCACCGCGCGATTCATTGACGACGCATCTCCTTGGCCAGATTGGAGTTTCTGTGGTTGAGCAAGTTCGGGATATTGGTGCTCCCAACATGTAAGACAAGCATGTTTTGCTGACATGAGGTTCTTCTTGTCCTTTCAGGTGGGACGGAGTCCCGTTCCTGGTCAAGACCGGGCAGGCCATGCGCAACCAGAGGTGCGTCTCTTCGCATATGATGTACTCTTTCCGGGTCGCTTTCCCGATGGTTCTGGTGCTGTGGCAACTGGCCGCGATCTCAAAAGCTGGAGAGTCCGGAGGTCGGAGTCGTTTTCACACTGGACGGCCTCCCTCGGACGGTCCGAGGCCACTTTGGTGCGTGCACGCTCTTGCAGAAAGGAAGATGTCGTGAGGACATGGAGAGATCCTGCTTTTAAAAGTGCACAGAGACAGCAGCGCACAGAGGGAGGAAACTGAGATTGCCTCGGCGCACTTGAGCGCGCTCAAATCTACCCAATCCTTAGCCCTGTGAACCTCCATCAGTCTTTCACTGTCAGCGTCTGAAAGCTGTTACGGCTTGGACCTGTCGAGTCTGGCTGAACACAAATATTAGACAAACAGAATAGTCAGCATGACAATCTGGATTCATCTATGTTTCCTCACTCTGACCATGCAAATCAAACCGGGCAGGAACGAGATTCGGATCCAGTTCAAGGGCGTGCCCGGTAATTTGTACCGGGAGCATTTGGGGTACAACACCGAGCAGCAGGCGAACGAGCTGGTCATCCGGGTGCAGCCGGACGAGGCCATCTACCTCACCATCAACAACAAGGTGCCCGGGCTGGGAGTCAAGCTGGACCAGAGCCGGCTTAACCTGCTCTACCGGCAAGAGTAAGCGTTCGCAAAGCCGAAAACTTTGCATCTTTCCTTGATGTACCAGATTCTGCTATACCGGCAGACTGAGCACTCACAAACGACACCCTTCGAAGTACTTTCACGTGTACGCTGTATGGTTCGAACCAAGAGGTATGTTCAATTGAGTCGGTCCTCGCGTATGGACGCTGTTGAATTTGCGAGGAGTTCAGGTGTCGTTGGGAACGCTTCATTTGAGAGTCCGTTCTACTTGCGATCAGACGCTTTTCAACCAAAGACCTCATACCGAAAGAGCCATGTTGCGTTTTTGGGACCTGAAGCCCCTGAAACTGTGTACATAATAAGGATTCCCTGCAGTGCTTGTCTTCTTCGCGAGTTGCCGCCCTTTCGGTGTTCGATTTGCCGAGCTGCTGATCACGGCTGTGCTCCCCTCGTCGCTGGGCAGGGTTGTTATCCATTTCAAAGAAAACCCGAGAGCAGTCGTAACTCGCAGTCGTAACTCCTTGTTTGAAGGTCCTTAAGCGCAAGTCCTAACCAGTGCGTGATTCCTCAACAGCCAGGCATCAACCAGATTACACTTTCAAAGGAGCATATTTAACCCTGCTCAATCCAAGTGTCACGTTCAAGAGCAAAACTCAACCTTGCTTAACCCAAGACGTCACTCTCGAGAACGAAACCTAACCCTGCTTAACCCCCTAAGAACCAGTCACGTAACCCGTGCCTAACCCCGGGCCCCCAGGTACAACAACGACGACATCCCGGACTCGTACGAGCGCCTGCTGCTGGACGTCATCAACGGCGACAAGCGGCTCTTCATCCGGGCGGACGAACTGGCCGCCGCGTGGGAGGTTCTGGACCCGGTTCTGCGGGAGATCGACGACCGGGGGATGGTCCCCGAGCTCTACACCTACGGCAGCCGGGGCCCCATCGGGGCGTACTACTTGGCGGCCAAGCAGGGCGGGGTGCGGTGGGCGGACCTGGACGATTTGTAAGCGTTCGGGGGGGTGGCAGGGGTGCTTAAAGTTCCTGGGAAGAAGTAGGAATGGCAGTCGGAAGGTGCCGTGGGCGGGCCTGGACGATTGTAAACTTTCAGGGGGGTTGGCGGTATGTAGCAGGGGATTAGTTAGGCAGGGGGGAGAAAGTGGTTTTGGCATTCGGAGGGCGGCGCTGCTTGGGCGGGTTGTGTAAGCGCCGGGGTCGGCCCGAGGGGAGCGGGGGGGAAGTGGTTTGCACCAGACGTTTGTGAGAGCGGGGCGAACGGGGGGGGGCATAAGAAACTGGCCTTCGGAACACTTTGCAAACGGAGAGAGGCCGAGTTGGCATCAGGAGGATCTGCGAGTCAGAGGTTGGGGGGGTGATGGCCGCAACAGCACAACCTGTTCGCCGAAGATCCTGATTTGGCGCACGTCAAAAGGGATTGTTAAGGCTTTCGAGGGGGTGCGAGAGGGAATCGGAAGGGTTGGGAACTGGAGGGATGCAGTGGAAACTTCGTTGCGTGTTATTGCGACCGGAAAAGAATTTACAGGTCGGTGTCCTACTTCGTCGTACCTGACGGACTTGCAAGCGCGGCTGGCCGGTTGGAGCGGAGACAAATGTTTCAATATCGGTCATGAAGTAAAGTGCCTTCTGCATTCCCGTTTTGCTAGAAAGATTTCGAATTGGCTCGTCATCACCGTCTTGAAGGAAGCTCCGCACAACATGTAGAGGCGGTGAACCCGCATGCTCTAGCAACAGTCAAATGTTCGATTACGCGTAGAGTCCCAGCTGTCCAAGAGATACTGGAAGAGTCTTTTGCGTGCGCATTCCGCCCCTTGTAAATTAGACATGACGCCACATTTGTTGTCCCTGGTCGGATAGCAAAACAAGCGTGTTTGTTCAGTAAGAGTAGCACATAGGCGGTCCTAGTAGAGTTGTGTGTGCTTGTGTTTGAAAGTTATTCGTAGAAGCTAGGATTGAGAAGACCTTTTCCCCTCAGACCCACAAACTAGGTCACCACCGTGAGCAACTCGTGCTTGCCCGCTCTTTCTTCATCCATTCAGCACGGCGCCATATGTAAGAGCTAGCACAATCCCGTACAGCAGGCGTAGAGCCTACTGTTTAGTACTGTCGGGTAATTGAGATATGCACGATCGACGGTTGCCAGCATTTCTGCAACGGCCAAGCCGTATATGCGTACGTACAGGCTTGATGCAATAACGCCTGCAGATGTTCAACGTACGGATCAATTGCCCACCATGTGCCGACGGCCGCGATGGCCTGAATCTTCTATGCGAAACCGTTGAACCCATCAGTGCAGTGTTTTACTTTCTCAGGGTCTAAAATTAGTTCTCGAAGCTGTTCCATGTAGCTGCACTTCGCTGCGGCCGCGCGCCCCATCCTTCCTGCCTCAGGATACGAAGCTGACCGGCAGCTTGCAACGTCCAGGCTGCGGTATGGGCTGTCTTTCGCCGCTCATGACTTGGACCGTCGTACTGTTGCGAGCAGCTTTGCGTTCTCGGTCAGACACTGATTTGCACACCAATGTTAAGCTGGATATTTTAAAGGCTCAGCGCTGTGTCGATCATCTAGATATCGTAACAACCGCGTGGAACTACTGCAACCGTTGAACGATTCAGAAGTTGCAAGGAGATTCCACAAGGAGCTACGTGCCCACCATTTGAAGCGCAAAGCGAAAGCGATGGAAACTTCCAAATCGATTTCGACATGACCAATCTATTCAATCGGCATGGTATACGATATGCGGACTCACGCCCGTAGTGGTACTTGGCTTGTCAAGCCGTAGCCACAGCCGGCAGTCAGGAGGTGCTCACAACGTCAAAACGTTGGTTCAAGTTATTGGTAAGAATAGACAGACCTGCATCTCGTAATGCCTGCGGTTGCACATCATTAACGGGCAGTCGCGGATTTGAATGAGCTGCGGTCACGTGCATGCTCAAAGACGTCTTCGCCTGCGCGCATATTTGCTAAGATAAGTTGCGGACGGTTAGTGGCCGTCCTTACTCACCAGTGTCCCTTTGATCAGTTTCAGGATGTGCTCTTAGTTCTGAACTAGAACGTGGTCCCAATTCTACTGCTACTGCTGCTAGTAATCTGCACTGTTAACATCTTGTGACGTAACTTTCGTCTTCTATCTAGGTATAAGGTATAAAACGCGTGCTTTTCCTATAGCCTACTTGCGTAGAGTGATCCGTTTCTCGTTGTCAACAGTTGCGCTAACTTTCTGTGGCTTTCCCGACGTTTTACAACGTCACGTTTCGCTCAAAGTGATCTCCCACCGATCAACCCGCCCCGAATACTTTTTCCTTGCCGTCCAAATCATGATATCCACTTTCACTTGGGAGGCCTCTTGTTGAACACCTCTATTTCATCCATAAGCCTCCGATTGGCCATTTGAAGTCTATCGACCACCGGCCCATGTGGCAAAAGTCAATTGCCGTTGATGGGTCCCCGGATCGGATGCTTGTCCCCGAGAATGGGCGGGAGCTTGATCGTTGTCGGCCGGGCGCTCAGCGGCCGCGGCTTCACCATCAGCGGTCCCCGGTTCCACTCATCCACCCCGAGCATCGAAAACGACGAGCCTCGCAGCGACCGCACCGCCTCATTCTTCACCTCCCTGGTCGCCTTAAACTCCTCCCGCATCCGCTCGATCTGCGCCGAGTACGTGTCCCGGTTGGCCAGGCTCTCCTTCCGGATGAGATTCAGGCCGGAGCTCTTCCGGCGGACTCCACCGAACGCCGGAACGCCGCCCGTGTCGTCCGCGATGAGCCCGCTCCGGGCGACCGCCTCCCGCGCCTTCGGGCGCCGCAGGTCGCCCTCCGATCCGCTGTGCGGGATTCCGGTTCCGGCGCCCTCGCCGTTCCGCAGCAGGTGGCTCCGCATCAGCTGCTGCTGCTGCTCGGGGGTCAGGATCTGGGGGCTGCTGATCGTCTTCTTCGGGCGCCGCTTCAGCAGTTCCGCCCGCGATTCCGCTTTCGCGACTCCGGCGGAAGGCGCCGGGCCATTCACACCAGCCTCCCCCGGGGACTCCCCCCGGGGGGTGTTCCCCGCGCTCGGGCTGCGCGACAGGCGCTTCAAACGATTCCCTACCGCCTCCTCAAATAATCTTGCCGCGAGCTTGTTCGCGCCCTCCACCAGTTTTTCCGCCCCCGCTAGTTTCAGCTTCAGCGCGTGCGCCGTCACTTCCCACTCCCCTCCCGCCGGGGCCGGAGCGGCCTCCCGCGTATTCCGCCGACTCGTTCCGCTTCCCCCGACGTCGCTCCACCGCCGCTTCCGTTCGCCGTCTTCTGAGTCGCTGCTCTCGCGTCGGGGCAAAAGGTTCGACCCCTGGACTGCGTACCGATTCTCTACCGGAGGGGTTTCGACTCGAACCGGGGTGCCGATCAGGCGCGGGCTCAGTCGGGAGGAGGGGCTGGGAAGGGGCGACCGGGAGAAGCCCTTTCCGGGAGGGGTGGGCGATTTGGGGGGCAAGTGAGCGCCCGGAGATCCGCGGTTCTCGACCTGCGGGAAGAGCGAGGATGGAATCTGACATCAGTTGTGAAGAGAAACTCACTACGCAAAATTGACTGTTTTCTCGCGGTCTTTGATCCGCGGCTTTCAGTCTCGGAAAAGAGCGATGTCATGTTGGTTCTAGTTGTGGTTTAAAACCCGTTGTGAGGAGTAATGGAGTCATTCTTGATATGCTCCTCTATGCTTCATGTTCTTCCTTCAGCTTGCGTCCTTATGACAACTAGAATCCCCAGTGCGTTGCCTTTAAAAGCGCAGCGTGATTACTCATGCACAAACGAAGGAGTTGTGCTCGGAAGAAACCTTCCTCGACGCGGAGTTGGGTTTAAAATATGTTCTCCTTCCCTTGGGCCCTGGAAAAGGAGCAGTCTCCCCTCCGTATGCATTCACCCATTCGGACAAGGGTGAATGCTCGACTTTGAACGCAAAGTGAATTTCTATCTGTCAAAATTACTCAGAAAACGTTGTCACGAAGCTTCGAAGCGGTGCAAAGGTGCGCCCAAAAAGCCACGGGGAAGGAGGCACAGCAAAACGTCACCAACTTTACCGTCCATGCACTTATCGGAGGATACTGTTCAACACAGACTGGCAAAAAAGGAGTCGATCGGCTTCTTCAGAGTTACAAGCAGGTGTAAAGCAGCCTAGGCACACGCTCAAGACAGCTGCGAACAACTAGAATTGCGAAAAAAGCTCACCAGGAGTGCGCCCGGCCGAGGTGTGGTCGCCCTCCTCTCCTCTCTTTTCCGCTCCCGCTCCAGAAGGCTGTCCATGTACGAGTCCCCGGCTGTTGACTGGCGCGTCCCGCGGGGGGTTCTTTCCGACTGCGCGGGGCTCCTGTCCGAATGCCCGCCGGTCGCGTCCGAACGCCCCGAAATGGCGTCCGAATGCCCGGTGAATCTGTCCGGATACCCGGGAGTTCTGTCCGAGTGGCCGGGAGTTCTGTCGGAGTGGCCGGGAGTTCTGTCCGCGTGGCCAGAAGTCCTGTCCGAGTGTCCGGGCGTCCGGTCCGACTGCCCAGTGAGCAGACCGCCGCGGTCCCAGCCGCCCGCGCTCTCGTCCGCCAACGCGCGGAGGTTTAAGGGTTTCACCACCGGCTTGGCGCGGCGGCCGGGGCTTTCAGAAGTTTCGGAGGGGTGTGCATGGCTTTCGACTCTTTGGGGGGCAACGTGACCGCCGTTTGAGACACGTGGGCTGTGCTTGATCGACCCCCCCTCGACGTAACTGCTGAGCTTTCTGGGGCCGGGCTTGCACGGGGTGGACGCCTGAGGGTTTGGGGTTTTGAGCGCGCCAAGCGCGTCGGTGCTGAGCCGCGACAGCAGCGGCTCCGAGTTCCGCCGCGGAATCGGCTTGCCCGACGGAACGGAAGCGGGCGGCGACACCAATACGGTCGCCGCATTCTTCTCCTGCGACTTTCTCAGCTCCCTCAGCTGTTGGATGCCACGTGTCCCCGCCAGGTACGACGCCCGGTTGGGCGAGTCGAGGTCTCCCCGGGGGGATCCGCCCGACTGGATGGATGACGTGGCAACGGGAGACGACCGGGACGAACTGCTTCCCCGGGGGGATCCACCGAGCGGCGACGGCTCCGCCCCTCGGGGGCTGCTCTCTGCGCGGGGCGTGTGCTTCCGCAGGAATTCCGCTGCGGAAGAGAAGGCGCTGGCCACCTTCTGCGGGAAACTTCTGTTCAGACCGGTCGGGCTGTCCGTACCGGTCACATCGATCTCGCTCAATGCGACCGGGGGGGCTCTCGCCGGGGCATCAAATGCCTCGCTCTTACTCGCGGTCCGTACCGAAGCATCTGGGCGGGTCTCATTCGTCTCGGAAAAACTTTTTACCAATCCCTCCGACTCCGTCAAGCTCCCCTGGCTTATGACCACCGCTTTGCCTTGGCTGACGTCACCACTCCCCTCGGTGCTGAGAGTCGTCAACCCGACCGAAGTAGCCCGGCTGTCTCCCCGAGGATCGCCCCCGAACGAGCTCCCCGACTCTTCTCTTCTTACGCCTCCACTCGTCGTGGACTGTCCGGGGCTCTTCCAGTTGGGGGATCCCTCCGTTCCGCTGCTTCCGGTGAATCCCGCCCTTCCGCTGCTCCCGGGGGATCCCGCCGCCCAGCTCGAGCCTTCCGTCTGGCTTGCCGCGTGCTCCAAGGAAGGCTTCCTTGGCTTCTCGCGTTCCCCTGCCAGCATTCCGTTTTCCGCCCGGATCACCACCGGAACCTGCATGTCTTGGCTTTCAATCGATTCGTCTCTTGCCAACGGACGTTGCCCATCAATCACCCTCTCTACTACAGCCGATCCTATCTTTTGGACGCTAACTTCCGTTCCTTTACGTTCCGGCTCCCGCTTTTCGGACGGAACGGTGTCGCCCAGAACCGGCATTTCGGCCCGGCGACCGCTAACCTCCGCTTTGTCTGCCAGCTGGTCGCCAACACTCCCTGTCCGCGTTTCGTTGCGGGTCACTTCCACCGGGGTTGAGCGCGCGCCCTCTGCCAGGGACTCGTTCCTGGCGCTTTCCGCCGGAATGCCGGAAAACCCGGACGGAAGCTCCAGAATGTCGTGCCGGACCTGGGGCGACATCTTCAGCACGCCCCTGGAGCTGACCCGCGCCATTTTGACCGCCGGCCGCGCGTCGACTTCCGGCTCTTTTGCGCGCGCCTCTTCCGGCTTCGCCCGCTGGCTTTCCCTCGGTTCCGTCCATTTCCTTCCGCTGGCTTCCGCCCTTTCACTCCCGTTCGCTTCTGCCCGCGGCGCTTCGTAACGGTCGCTCCCTTCCCGTTCCGTCCTTCCGTCCGTCGAATAACTTCCCTGGTATTCCGCCCGCTGGATTCCGCTCGTCTCGCCCGCCGGAACGTCACCCCGCGCCTCGTCAAACCGCTCAAGGCTCGTCTCTCGCCGCCTTTCAAGCACGGCGCTCGTGGCCAAAGATTCGGCCAGTTCGAACGTTAGTGACGATGGGCTGACGTCAGCCATTCCGAGGCGCTGGGCTTGCTCCAGAACCGCCTCGTACATACAGCTGCGGCGCGCGTGAGTCGGCGTCGCGGGCTCCTCCTCCTGGAGCGCGCGCGCGCGCGCCTCGATGCACGAGCGCACGTACGTGGCGGTGCGCTCCCTGGGCAACCAACGAATCCAAGAACTCAGTGAAAGGGGAGCACGCAAAGTTGGCACGACTACAGGGGTTTGTCTCACGCTTAAACCCAAGTCGACAAACCCTCAGAACAGGTTGTTTGAGGAGGGCAAAGACAACCCACGATCTAGAAATATTCGTGAAGAGGAACACGCGAGAATGGGCTTCAAATCAGGTTTTTCTTCAGGCTTTACCCAGTTCAACGAATATCGGGCCCGGGTTGTCCAAGGACGCAGAAGATCAACATGTGGAGAAGCTACAGAAATATCAGAACCCGGTAAAGGTGCAGAGGAACAAGCAGGAAAAACAGATGTGAAGAGGCAAAAACCACTCTTCTCTCCAGCTATCCAGTGTATCGTTCAGCAAAGTCAGAGCAACCCCCGCAGAAAGCCAGAGTACCTCACAGCAAGCTGCACTCTCTTGCCCTCGGGAGCGGCAAGAGAGAAGAAAACTTCGATCATCTCGAACTAGATTACTTACGAATTAAAAGTAGCATTTTAGCAAAAGTAAGCTGATCAGCCTAGGATGGTTGGGGTTGATTTGGGGGTTAGGCTAGGTACGGGTGCGAAACGGGTGATGTTATGGGTTAGGTTTTTAGTGTGTGTGTAGGAGCTTACTTTTGCTAGAGTTTTCTTATTGCTAACTTGATGGGACATTCATCTCGAACGGCAAGAACGTCAAGAAATTTTGCATTGCTGACCTCAGCGCGGGCGTCATCAGGAGCGCGGCCGCGGTCGGGCGGTCGGCGGGCGTCGGCGCCAAAAGTGCGCCGAGCAGCGCGTGGAGGTCGGCGCTGTAGTGCGGCGGCGCGGGCTTGTACTCGGCGTTCATGACGTGGACCGACAGCTCCGCCAGGTTGCTCCCGTTGAACGGGTGCTCCAGGGCCAGCATCTCGTACAGCAAACAGCCCAAACCCCACATGTCTGCGCGCGCACAGACAGGGTTTTAGCGACTACTACTTGATGGGTGTTGAGGGTTTTTGAAGATTTGGATGAAAACGGTGCGAGGGTCTGAACGGGTACCTCAGGGCCAGCATTCCGAACAGCCAACGCCCCACATGAGCTCGCGCAGGAATTCAGTGATTGGGTTTCGCAAACTCAGCGCTTAAGGGCTCAAAAATTTTACGTTGCAAAGACTCGGTAGAGCATCTCGTATACACCGAGAGTGCTAGCGGTGAGGGTTGAGCGGGTGCTCTAGAGCCAGCTTTTCGACAGTCCAGGCATCACGTGTCTGTGCGCACACAGAGGATGAGGGTTTAGGAAGGCTTCTGGGTTCGACGGCCGGAGAGAGGTCTGGATAGAGACGTCTTTCCCCTGGGGTTTTCAGACTTTAGATGTTCTAGACGAGAAGGGCGCTTGAAAGGGCGATTCACGGCTGCGTCCCAACGTAGAATGCACCTCAGCACCTCAGAACGAGCGCCGACTTTTTTCGAGCAGCGAAATCCTCAGCGTGCCGAAGACGTTTACATGCCACGTGTCACGCAATGATGTAACGGCTCGCAAGTGACATCTCGTATAGCGCCCACCTGACTTGTGGTTGTAGGCCTTCCCCTCGAACAGCTCGGGGCTCATGTAGTAGGGCGTGCCCACGAACGTGTTGGCCAGCGCGTGCGTGTCGTCCAGCACGCGCGCAATGCCGAAATCCTGCACCATTCGTATAGTCATTTCGCGACTGGTTTGGATACTGAGAATGCGATGCCGGAAGTATGCTCTGAATCTCGATACTTCTACGTTGATTGTTCTTGATTGGTATTGTACTGGACATTCAGGAGCTTGCCTAATTGGACTCGCGGAAAAACTCAATCTTGAATGGGTATAGAGGGAAAGCGGAAGGTCGCAAAGGGGTAAATCAGAGCTGTTGGGGAAATCTATTCCCGGTATTTCAACACGCTGCTGCCTATTATGACCGTATTTGAGGTCGATTGCTTGCGCCGGCCCTTGGCCCTTTCGCAAGCTAGCCGCTTAAACAACCGCTCTTCAAGACAACGACGTTATCAAACGTCGATTTCAAGAAGGCCGGGTGCTTGGCTCGTGGCTCACCCCAAGCTGGATCGTCGCTACGTTCCCCTTCGGAAAGTCGTTCTTGTTCCGCATGAACACGTTCCCGGACTGCCAGGAAAAAGTAACGGCCTTGAGTAACGGCCTTCCACAGAATTCGCCGGTAACTGCTTCCAGTTTGAATCTGAGCTTGCTTATGAGGAATCGACCAGGATGGTCGACCAAAAGCCTATGATCATTCGACAATCACGAGGCATCAGCGGAAGACCGCGACAGAGTTTCACGCTTTCTTTCTCTGCTGCTTCTGTCCTTCGTCTCTTCTCAAATGAGCACATCGGAAAGACGACAATGGGCTCAACTCAGCGCGTCTGGTTTTTGACTGGTCCGATGTATAAAAAGTTCAACGAAAACTCGACTAGTGCCGTTTAGTCGATCGAGGAACCAACATACATCTTTCGAGGCGATCACACATTGCCAAGCCGCTGTGCATCGGTCGCTCACCTTCAGGTCCCGGTGCAGAATTCTGTTCCGGTGCAAGTAGTCCAGGGCCAACACGAGCTGTACAAACCAGTCAATGACCTCATCCTCCGTGAAACTGCATACGAAAACCGACACTACTTAACCACCTGGTCAAGTGCCTGGTTTAGCTGCCGGTGCAAGCTGGTACAATACGATTACGGCTTAAGAGGCCACTTTCTTGCCTGCAAAAAACTTTCTCGCTGTGTTACCGACTCGCCGTGTCCTTGTGGCACCTTGGAGGCAAAGTCAAGCTGCAAGCGAAACCCTTGTTACGTACATTACCGAATCAGTCGCAAGAGAGACTAGCGGGTTATCTGCATCGGAAGCAACTAGGACATCTATCGATTACCTGAGTAAGGTGCTACTCCATTTGGGACATGAAACGGCTTATTTACGATACTTGGGTCGATCCACAGGCGACACTTGTATCTGGTGTCATGGCATCATTTACATTGAGCGGAATTGGACAGATCCGCCAAGACGCTAGTTCTAGGTCGAGATGCCAGGTTGGTCGGCCGCTTTGGCGCAACAATCCGTCTCCTGAGTATCTTGTCGCACATATGGATCTAGCAGCTCAACTTGCTCATTTGGCATCTTTGATGCAGCAGAGTCTGGCATGAGCAGCAGTCTCTTGCGGGCCTCTGAATCTACTAAATCTACTGAATGTAGCCTTTGTGGAGTGCAAAACCGAGACCAGTTGCAATTTCTTGCACCTAAAAAATTAGTTCAACCCGTTTGTTGCCTCTTTGTTTCTGAACATTGATGAAAGTAGCATATTGGAGCTTCGGAAGATCTAACTATGGTAAGTCCAGCTGGCATTGGGTGCTCAGAAGCAAATGTACAGCTGTCAGTGCCAATTTGGAGATTCCCGTTTCTGATCGCCACTCTTCAGAGCCCGCCCCGCAAAACTTGCACCCAACCAAGAGTCTTGCCAGCAGGGGCAACTCTTAGCTTTCTTGTCTTGCAAGGTCCTAGATACGCAGATCTTGCGGCACTGAAATCACAGAAGGCCTCAAGGAAACCTTTCTTGTGCAAGGTCTCCGCGAAGGGAACAAACCGCCGGGCGGGCGGACTCACTGTGTGTGCGCGTTTGCATGGCGCTGGATGTGTCCCCTCAGGTCCCCCCCTCTGCACTGCTCCAACACGAGGCACAGCCGGTTGTGGTTGTCCACAAAGCTCTCCTGTATTGAGCGATTGAACATGTTGACAGCTGGCGCAAACACTAGCAGTTGTCTTCTGGTGGGCTTCTTTACGAATGACGGGAGGTTTGAGACCGGGGGCACTTCCAATCTTTCGTCTCTGTTTGCTACTTATGGGGAGGATCAGCAAGATTAGAAGCAGCGGAAGGCAGATCTGACAGAGTTTTGATTGTTAAGCAAAGGCTAGTTGGATTTTGCGAAGCAGTTCATTGTCTCTGCATCCAATTGCTGATTCCAGACTTGCATAAACAAACTTCCTGTAAAAGCGGCTACTGCTGAGCGGTTCACACCAGATCGGCAATGCTGGCATGGAGTTGAGCTTATCAGAAGTTCCACATTGTAAGGGAGCAGCTCTGCCGACTCGTCCATTCTATACTCAATGCTACTAGGTACGGCCTCAATGCTGCCAGCTGTCACAGCATGGTTGCATATCATTCCACAACGTTTTCTCCTGAGCTTAATGCTGTCAGGCCAGCATTCCCTATATCTGCAAAACCTGAGATCCCCAGTGGTCTTTCCAACCGTAACCTAATGCTATGCAGCCAATTTGCAGCATCAACGAACCGAGGTTTGTCGCCTACCTTGCACCCGACAATGTTCGGGTGGCTGAGCTTCATCATCGTCGAGCCTTCCCTGATGCACCCCTCCCGGTCCTTCTCTTTCCTCGGCAGCGGGACCACCTTCATCACCCAGTCCCTCCGCTCCTTCTTCATCTCCCCGGTGACCTCGTCCCTAACCAGGGGGGGGTTTCTTTCCCTAACCAAAAAAACCCTGCCCTGCGCCCCCTCCCCAATGGGCTTCATCACGTGGTACTTGGACACCATCTTGGCCGTCTGGTTTCCAGACGGTGTGATGACGTCACCGTGGCGCCCTGAGCTTTGCTAGGGCTGGCTGCTCACCCCCATGCATGCTGGGTGTCACCTGTCCACCTCTAGTCTTGCGACAGGGGTGGGATCATCGGCAGGGCCCCGGTTTTTATCAACAGGTTAGACCTATTAGAAGCTACCGATGCGCTGTCATTGTTTCAACAGATTCAGTTGGAAACCTACAGATGCGCTGTCATTGTTGCACTTGGCACCATTTTCTCGTCCTTTGCATCACCGCACGCCGCTTGCTATGACTCCAAGTTCTCATGAATATGAAAACAGTAATCTGCTTACACTCATACAGAAACTTGGCCCCTGCAGATGTTTGCAAAGCTACCTGAATCTGTATTGAATGCGACAAGATTGCCAATTTGGCCGCATTGATTCAAAGAAGAGGAGATCCGATTCGCACAATGATGTGGACTACAGGAAGCATCGGCCTTGACAAACCCCTTCGCCAGAGCCTACTAAGCAGATTGGGGCCGCGCGGCATTGTGATGACTCTCAGATCTCCTCAGTACAAGCATTTCATTGGCTCGCCGGCGCATGCCTGATTGGAGTTCCTCTATTCCCCATTTACAGCTCACGCGTGCATCATGTAGGTATGCTCTTGTTTGTACGGTGTGCAGCTCAAATTGCAGGGTTTACATCAGCTAGATAGTACTCCTCCATGACTCTCTCTCTCAACCGTCCTTCCGACGGGGCGATGTACACCGTTGGTTGGACTTCTACAGTGCATGCAGCCGTCCGATTACATCTTAGAGATTCCGCGCGCGCTCAAACACTGTTTGAGCGGACCTCCAAGCGTTGCGAGCAAGCTGTAGGCCGCCAATTACTGCATCTTACTACTACCGGTATGACAAGTACATGGCCCAGAGCAGGATGGACATACGAGTACTGCCTAGGCGGCTCGATCTGCATGTAGGTCATATAGTCTATAGTCTATAGACACGGCCCTCATATCGACGATGCTTTCAAAGCAGTGACAATAATTTCGGAAGGCGCAGGCACCTCGCGGACACGCTTGCCCCGGACTTGTATTGATGGAGCTGGGAGACTCTGTGAGACCAGCGGCAGCTGTCTGGTATTGCTTGCAATTGAGCTGATTGATACAATCAGTTTGCAAGGGCGTCACCTGCGGTCAGGACTAGACGCTCGGCATGCAGGCTAAGTGTGACTGAACCAGCTAAATCAGTTCTGCACGCCAGAGTCAGGAGGCATAGTTTGCTCGTACAGTTGTTCCCAAGAGCTTGCATAAGCCTATTTCTGACCTCCAGACGGGTTGAGTTGGAAGGCATCAAGCGGCACCAAAGCAGTGAATCATCATCACCTGTGTCAAAGCGCTGGCGCTCTTGTCACTTCCTGCCTGGCGGGGCTGAGCTCGGCTGCATGTGCATGATACCAAACAGCTCAAGCAATCTACAAGCTGTTTCCGCGGGTGTTTAGCTCTGGTGCTCGTTAAAAGGTGAGGCAGCTCGAGTAGGTCACAGTCTGCAAAATGCTTGGCGCCACTCTCCTATCTGACTTTTACATTGTGACGTTTCCATGCCCGGGACCCCCGCAGCTTCGAGGACCCCGGCCGGCCGGGCGCCCGCACCGTCAAAGCTCCCGAGATTTCAGAAGGCCCGGCCCCCAACAATTCGGACAATGCTTCTGCCGGACGATTATGACGACCTGAACCCAAACGGGGCACTGCCAGATCAACCCGCGTCAAACGAGGGTGACGGAGCTCGGAGTGTTGTGAGAGATGTGTCGCCGGCCAAGAAGCGGGGGCCTCGTTCTGAAACCGGCCGACCAGAGGGCAGCAGCGGAACCCCGAGTAGAAAGAGTATCAAAGGGAACGCTGTGGAAAACGGTGCGCCAAAGTCGAAGCTGGGACAGGCGGAGACGGCGCCCCAGAAGCGGACCAGTAAGACCCCGACGGCGGCGGCAGCTAGCGCGTATGCAAGCCCGTATCGTCAACCTAAAGAAAAGCCGAAAGAGAAGCCCCGGGGACCAAAATCTGAGACCAGCCCGCTTTCAAATACAAGCCCGAGGAGCCCCGTGTCTCCCGGCGCCTTTTCCCAGAAGTCGAACGGAACTGCATACGATGAACCAGAACGGAAGCGGAATGGAACGGAAAACGGAACGGCGGGCCCTGAGTCAGCAATCAAGGCGCAGGTCGCGGAGGCGCTGCACGTGCTGGACCACTTGGAGGCGCATGCGGACGCGCTCGGGAGCCCGTCTGGAGCATACGGAGCGTCCGAAAAAGCGTTTGGGGCGTCCGAAAAGTCGTTCGGTGCGTCAGAAAAGAATTTCAACGCCAGTGGAAAGGCAATAAATGCGTCCGAAAAAGGGCACGGTGCTTCAGGCAGAGGGTTCGGGGCGTCCGAAAGTGTGGACGGGGTGAACGGTGTGATGTCATCTGGACGGGCTCCCAGAGGGGAGGTGAGGTCAGCACGGAGAGGAGGAGCGGCCGCAGCGTATGCGAGCAGGGTGAAGAAGAAAGCAGATGAGAAGAAGCAACTAGGGGCGAGGAAAGATCATGCGGTGCAGGTCGCTCGAGGAATCATGCGGAAGGTGGGAAGTGCCCGCCATATCTGTTGGTGCGCTTGAGAATCTTGATCTCTGCTTCCTAATGAAATCTCTGCAAAGTTCAAGGCATCAAGGGTTCGCAAGAGAGAGCCAACTTCGTGAAAAAAAGCAGACCGCTGTTAAGGACCATCAGCTGACGGGTAGTGGGGATGGTTCAGAAAGTACCCTTTTATATTGACCATTCGCCCTGTTCCGTTAGGTCGGACCTAAGATGGGACAAAACCGACGTAAGCGGGATTGTTCCAAGACATCTTTGAGCTGCTAATTGCAGAAGGGCACGGTAAAACGCTTCTTTCAGGTTGCAACGAAAGCGGGCCGATGTTCAACGTATCCATCTTGAGTTGCCGCTGATTCAAGCCGCCTCAACTCCATAGGCATCGGGAATGCAGTTTGAAAGTTGCTTTCGACTCTGTTGAATGGTGCAGATGTACAGGAAAAATGTGGCCCTGGAGAAAGAGAACCGGGTCCTCAAGACGGAGCTGTATGGACAGAAAAAGCGGGCCGGGGAGCTGGACTCGCCAAGGGGAGCGATGCAGGTGAGCCGAACATGGATTGATATCCACGTTTGTTTTGACACGGGGACCTTTGCGGGCAAGGCAAAGGTGTCTCAAAGAAACAAGAAGGGAAGCTCCCAGGTAGCCCGGACTCTGCGTCTGGGGTTCTAAATTGAAGGATGATCAGTTGTTTGATCCCCGCTTGGGATGTGAGCGGGCCTGATTGGATAGCCCATTGCAAGTGACTAGGTTTCTCAGAGAGTTTGAGCCACTGATGGCTCAGCCGTCAACAATCGAGAATTCTAAGAGATACCATCATTGCTAATGTAGAGAGGTTTGCCGAAGACGAGTGTTGCTCTGTGGGCGGGCGCTGATCCGATCCGCTGAATCCAGGAAAAGATTTCAACGTCCACTCTTACGGTAGGAGAGGGACTTTACAATCGCCCAGCTGAAAGAAGTTCCGGCCCCGCTGTGAGGATGTCTGCTGACGCGACCAGATCCTTTAGAAGACCTGAACGCGACTCCACTGAATCGATACAAGCCCTTCGACGTCCGTTCTTCCGCAGAAGAGGGACCGTGCGGTCGGCCACTTTAAGGAACCGATTGCAAAATGTGTCTGCTGAGGTGACAAGATCTTTCTCAAGCCCTGAGCGCCACTTTGTTGGATACGATACGAAAACTTCGACGTCCCTTTTTCCAGGAAAGGGACCGTACGATCGCCCAGTTGAAGGAACTGATCGGGGAGCTCCAGGCGCGGCTGCGCAAGCACGAGGAGCCTTCCACTCGGGGCCGAAAGCACACCGCAAATCCCGCCGGGGATCACGGGGAGAGCTACAAGAAGCTGCGCGCAGATTACCAGCGGCTACTAACCACACGGATAGACGTAAGTGGAAGAACCGTAAGAAAAAAGATGTAAAGTGAAGGATGTGAACGGAAATTGGAGGAGACTGAAGGGAAAATAGTATCAGCTGCGCACTTCGAGTCGAGCACAGCCTCAGGGAAGCGCCAAATCGAGTCGAAGCTTTGGACACGCGAGATACTGAAAGAAGACCCTGAGCGAGAGACAGGGGGCGGCAACGGCATGGCTCGAAGGACTTTATTGAAGAGGTTCGCTGCGTGAAGCATGAAATTCTTTCGGCCCAATATGCTCTTGCTTTATTAATGTCGTTACCGAACGGAAAGCCTCAGTTCTGGCCGCGGTGAGTTTATGGTTTATTCTCAACTGAAAGTCAAAGAGTCCTTCTGAAGAGGGTAACGTGGAGAGGTGTCTTGCGGAACCCAGATCTGGATAGCCAGACCACAGCCTAATCAGATTGCAGCGTGGATTGCGACGCTCAAATAGCCCTTTTCGTTGTCTATACAGGCGTTGCTCGTCTTTCTTCAATCGAGGCAAATCTGTGACTCGATCCAGTGGTGCGAAAGCTCTGTGGCCAATTTGAGAAAGATCTCTGAGGTTAGCGGAACTTGTACCCAGCCGAGAATCGAGTACGGAATCATGTTCTCGTTTGTAAACGCAGGCGGTCAAGAAGCGCGGGGGAGCAAATGAAGAGGTCACCAAGATGCTGTCCGACATGCGGGAGGTAAGGACGCGGGAAAGTCGGCTTGCCGTTTGTGCGTGATGTGTAGAAATTTTCATGCGTCGTGTCTTCAGATCCTTCGGATTCAGGTTCGCAGAACTGCCGAACGACGTCAAGCATCCAGACTATCCGAGAACTTTGAACACTTTCAATTTACGGTATAGAAGTATAAGGCACCGTAAAGAAGTAAGGTACGCGCAGAACCGCCTCAACATTGGTTTCTTCATAGGGAACAGCGAGGAAGGCCTTCGCTGACCTTATTCAGGTCCAATCTAGACCGTTGGGATTGCCTTCTGAACGCCAAACAACAAGTTATCTCGAAGAGATAACGTCTCGAAGCTGTATGAAAGAGACGAGTCATGACCAGTCTGCCGAGCGCGGAGAAAGGAACGCTTCCACCGTTCCATTAAAGGCACCGTTCGCAGCCAACCTCGTCAGCATGCGGAACGGGTATTCAGGGCGGTTCCCTTGACTCCTAGCACTTTGGTCTCATCCGGGCCGTTACCAAATCCATTTTCGGCTCACGATAATTCTTGGCCCCTGTTTTCTGTAGCGACTGCTGCAAGAGACCGCGGAGCGCGAGACGGAGACCGCTCTGTTCAACGCGCGGCTGTACGAGACGGAGCAGCAAAACGCGGACTGGTGAGCGCGGGGTTTTGTCCCAAAAAGGCGCCGCTTACAAACCAGCGCTTCCTATTCTGCTAGGTTGACATGTTGAAAACAACAAACGGTCTCGGGTTTTTGATCCCAGTCTCGTTACAGAGTGTAATTAGAAGGCAATGTCGGAATCTTAATCTTCAAACGGTCGTGTTCACTAAGGGATGCATATTGCCGTGTGACACAACCTCTTCAAATCCATCGAGAAGGGTTGATCGCCTTCATTATCGAGCTCGGGGGTCGTGTCGCGTCCCTTTCTGGCTGCAGTACTACGAAGAAAGAAACCTGTCTTCCCACTGGGCAGAACTTAGAGCAGCTTTGACGCGAATGGCGGTGAAAACCTAACATCCAGAATCTTGTCCAGACATTTCTGAGAATGAGAACGACTTCAGTACGGTTGCTTCCGTGGTTTGCAGGTACGTTGAGAAGAAGTTGCTGGAGCAGCACATCATGAAACTAGAGGGGGAGCTGCTCGAGCGGGACCAAATCGACCAACAAATTGAGTGAGTTTGAGTTTCCCTCAATCAGTTATTCTACTCGTTTCATGGTTCGTAGATTTCGGGGATGTGGAGATGCCGTATCCAGACAGAAGACCTGAATCCAGGATTTTTTTTGCTCGACTCAATCTCCATCCAAACCCTCGTCCCCAATCTTTACCCCCCACCTAACCCCACCAGCCCTGGGGGGGCCACCAAACAACTCCTTGAGGCGCCAATCTCAGTTCAACTCGGCAACAGCGCTACGCAACGAAGAGAATGAAATGCATTTCATTCTCTTCGAAATGCCACGAGACAACTCGCACGCTTCTCAATCATTCATGAGCGATCGGGGTTTGGCTCTTTTGCGTCGTTAGAGCTGATATTTCATATGGGCTCTCCTCTCGAAGATGAGCTGTCCCAAGTTTATGTAAGTCCTCTGTGCGAAGCACGCACTTGGTACTATCAGGGAGCCTGTGCAAACGGTAGAGCCCCCAAAAACATATGCACGTTTCCAATCCTTTCGTAAGAGTACGTCGAACGTGCGCCCAACGTGCGCATCCCTTTCTCGATCGCCACCGAGCTAACGGAGGCACCGTTCCGTTTCCGTTTCGCAGGGCGTGCATCGGGTCGCTGTTCGAGCGGATGCAGATCCTGGAGCGCACCAACCAGGAGCTCAACGACATGGCCGCGCACTACTCCCAGGTCGCCGAGGCGACCTCCCCAACCGCGGCCGCGGCCGCGGCCGCGCCAGGATGACGTCATCAGGGTTTGGGTATTGTCAGCGAACAGGATAGTCACCAGTCGTATCGTGTACAGAACCATTCTTTGTGACCCCGGGCTTCGAATCTGGCAGCCTGGGGCGCCCGGTGATTTCCCACCGGCGGCGATTTGTCGAATAAGGTCTGCGGAGAAGAGAGTCTGTAGACGGGCAGTATGGAATCTTTGTCGAGTAGAAGATGGTAAATGAAGGACGGTCCGCTATTGACGACCAGGACGGATCACTGGCAGTGAAAGCGAGCGCCCGGCAAACTTGGGTTCCCTAGAAAGAACCGAGGGAACAGTCTCAGGGACGTACTACTACCCCGAGGGTCGGCGATGTTATGATCCCGCTTCGACATTGAGCACCCCGAATTTCATGCAAATTCGATCCGGTGTGATCTTAAACCTGCACCTGCTGAAGGTTGTCGTGCTGAGATGTCTTTTCTGGGTCGCACTCGAATTGCTGAACTTTTCATTCGAATCCACACCCAATCGTGATTATGTTTCTGGACATTCTTTGGTTGCACGAGCGGCCAGACTCGTTTCGATCAGAGGAAATTCGACGCTGTGAAAGCATTGCTGCACAGTGGTCTTCAAACCCGGTCTGCATGTTTGATCACAAAGGAGCTTGCATCTAATTTCAAAAAGCGTATACCAATTCGTGCGTACAACACAAGTGATTGACAAGTCCGATCAACGTTGGCTCCGGCGCACTTGGTGTGTTCTCTTATACAGTTCTCATATTAACGAGAGGATCCCAAAATCTGCTCGGTTGATGAAAGCACAACCAAATTAGAAGCAAAGTTGGAAGATGAGGCAGGATCTTCGAAAAACATTCGAATGTTTAGCTCATAGAACGGCGCAGCGAGGGCGATAGTACACAGCCCCCGGAGAACCGTACAAGCCTGCTCGATCAAACCTCTCTAATTGTCGTAGGCAGCAGGCTTCAACCATAGAGTCATTTAGAGGCTTCAGGCTTGCATGGTACTCTGAATGAGCGAGGATTCCGGCTCCGCGCTCCGTCAATCCGCGGACGGGAGGATCGGACACGGACACGGACAGTGATTTGGGCGACCGACATCAACCGTCCCGAGTCCAAGGATTAGTCACCGGCCGCGCCGCACCGGGCGTTCAACTGCGCGACTTCGATCCCCGGGCGGTCCGTGTACACCGGGATGTTCGAGCGATACGCGACCTTCCGGATTCCGCTGTGCAGAGTTCCGCCCGCCAACAGCCTGGGCCTGCCAGGCTATATTGCCGTCTCCGATCGAGATCTGACAATTCTCTCGTTTGCAGAGCATAAATTCGCATTCATTCCCAAGCTCTGGAAAAGAAGGCTAAACTTAAAGTAGGTAGCAGCCGCCAAGACTTCCGCTGTATGGCGCTTGGTTGCTTGAGGACGGCACGCACTAGTGCCCAGCGATGTCCGCTTTCTTTGGATCCCCGGCGCGCGCCAGCTTTTTAGTAGGAAGTTCTGACAAGGATCTCAAAGACACCGGCCTACTTTCCCAAGACCGCAAAGGAGTCCAGTCTACAATGGATAAGCAATCAACTCCGGAGGCCAAGTCTCCAGCTAAGCGGCGCGGGTGGACTGGTTCACCTTTTAGAAAGCGGGCCCAGAACCAGTCATCTGTTGAGGGGGGCACTTTGCAGAGGTTGGTCGAAGGGGATGACGTTGCGACGAGTTCTGAGGGAGTGGTTGATGAAAACAGCGGGGACCCGTCTGTGCAAGAGCGCTCTTCCTTGGATGGGGGATCAATGGATCAGCGGAGCCTGGCCATGAGTATGGAATTCTTTGATGCCGAGGAGGCCTTGGAATGTAAGCTTACCGCTGACATCTTTTCAGATCACTGAATCATCCGGCACACAGCGACGTGTTCTGGGAGTTCCATTCCTCCTTGTTGGTCACAGGGTGTACTTTTAGTCTTTCCAGATCTTGGGGTAAATGAAGGTGATCAGTTTTGTAAACAGTCACATGAGTGATTGCTGAGTTGGACCAAGCTCTGTTCTTATTGCAAAGTAAATCACACAGGTGGTCAAGTAGCAGACAGAGTGGCTGCACATGACGAAATCTTGGCCGTCTGATGAACTTAAACTGCTGCACTCTGGAAGGTGGCGGCCACTGCTCCAATGGCTCCAGGACGTAGGGTATTGTTTAAAGGTACTTTGGGAGCTGACTTAGGCTGGTTGGTGTTTGGTAATCTGTAAAATGTATCTTTGTTGAGCCCCCGCTTTAGCGACTGCCACTTTTTCGTCAATCGATCTCTGGTCTACACGACTATCAGGAAACGTGGAGATTGCTTCTTATCATAGACCCTGAGTGGTGTTGGTGTTTTGGTGTTGCTTGTTTGAGTGGCCAGAGTGTGATTCAAGTCGGTTAGCGGAGTCCAAAGGTGTCTGGTCAATCACTCTGGTCAACCAGCTTTCACTTCCTTTTAATAGAAACCAGCAGCGAGCTAGAGCCGCTTCACTTGATGTCATTCGCCTGTCCCACAACACATTTCTAAAGATTACAGGTTCAGCCTATATGGGACTGTTATCTACATTCTAACAGTACCGCAACCTCTAACGTCAACCCGGTCTACTTTACCTCTCTCCGCAACTTAATTCGTTTGACCTTGATTGCCTTTGCATTTCAATCACATCATCGTTCTGTCTCCCTTGCAGCCCTAAAGGGGGAAAGAGGTTCCACCTGATGACAGAGGCCACAACAAGATCTGTGGCTTTATGCTCCTTCTCCTGCAAAACGTAATCTGTTCTCGCAATGTTCTCTTATGTCAGCCTGACAAGAATTTTTCAAGTGCCGTCGCGTGAGCCAGCCCGCCTCCTGCTTGGATGCCTTTGGTTTATTTTCCACCGATTTCATTGCTAACCCCTCGCATTATCCCCTGACGTCAGCCTGATGTTAGCTCCTTCTGCCCTAGTAGCGGCATCTGACGTAAGCACGTGGCTGGCGGCAGCCTGGGCCTGCTTCCATCCTGCCAACCCAAAGTGAAGCTAATTTATTGCATTCTGCCCGCTGATGTCAGCCTGATGTCAACACATCTTTGGCCGCAGCCGCATCTGACATCAGCACGCAGCCCGACGACAGCCTGGGCCTGCGGGAGCGCCTGCAGCAGGAAATCCGCACGCGCGTTCTCGCCCAAGAAGCGCTCGCGGCGCTCCAAGCGGAGCGCAACGAACTTCTGAGGCGGTTGGAGCAGTCTCAGACAGTGCAAGGTGCGGCGGAGAACCCCACGGAAGGTGCCACTGGTAGTCTCTCGGAAGGTACTGTGGAAACGCCATTGGGAGATGAAATTGACAACCCCTCGGAAGCTGCTGTGATTAGTTCGCAGGGAGACATTAGGAAAGCGACGGAGGACAGTGAAGGCGCTGCAGATAAGCAGGCGGAGGGTCTTGATAAGCCTGCGGAAGGTGCTCACATTTTGTTGGAGAGAACGGATCTTGAAGGAGCGGAGGTGGTTGAGGACGCAAAAAAGGCTGGTGAGAGCGGCGACGGAGATTGCGAGATGGGGGGTGGCTCTGCGGGGCCAGAAGTCCCAACCGACCAGAATGCGGATCCACCGGAGTCGTCCAGCGAGCTGGGAATGCTAGACGGCGGCTCAGCAACGAATCCAGGTACGGAAGCAGGGGTGAACGGGGAGGGGGGTCAGGTCCCCCCTGAAGCGCAGGCTGGGCCGTCGGGGGCCCCGAAGGCGGGGTTTGCGTCATCTTTATCGGAGGGGAAGGACAGCGCACTTGCAGAGGGGGGCCTGAGGGAGGCGCTCGCGAAGAAGGACTCAGAGATTGCGCGGTTGAAGGAGAAGCTGGTCTACTGGGACCGGGTCAACGAGGAGTACCGGGTGCAAAGAGAGGAGGCAAAGGGTGAGTGGTTGCGTGTTAAATTAATTCTCGAGCCATTTTCCTTCTTGAGATTGTCTCGCAGGTTTGCGGTGGAACGATTGACGGAAACGAACACGTAGATTTCCGCTTGTGTCCGATTGCGATCTGGGGAGCGTTGCTGACGTGGGGAGGACTGGGCCCATGTCGATTCTGACGTAGTTACAGACGAATCTGGAGCCTGTCTTTCCTAACTCTTTACTCAATCACCCGTTGTTCGAGCGTTACACGAGTTGTTTGTTCTGAAAGTCAGACGTTCTGGAGCCAGTTCAACGTGGTACTGCTGTTAGGACTGCTGGACATACGATTTGCTGGTAACTGGTTCAACAAGCATGCCGTTGTCATCGAATCGGATGCTCTCCAATAGTGTAGCGCTGCTTGTCGATCGAACCTTTCGCTCAGCAGCATTTAGCTCTGACCGGATATTGGTACGGTGCTCTTCTATTTCCGAAGCCAAGGGCAATCTTCTCCATCCTGGGACGCCGTGTCTTGTTGTCAAGACGACAAAGGGCGACGTGTCTGTTCTCCGTTCTGGCTGTCTGCCTACGGCAGTCTCCAAGAAGGACTAAACGCAGCGAGTTTCGTGCTTCGAAAGTACAAAAGGCAGGGAGCAACGTGTCTTCATGGAAAAGGTCCGAGCTCCTCGTTAACCTAAGGTTTTGGGTGCATTTTGGCTGCGTTTTCGGTGCCTAACTCGGTCCTTCATGATGTGCAGAAAAGAAACGGGAGGCCCGGAGACGATACCAAAGGCGGCGGGCGTGGACCATAGGTCTGCTGGGCGGAACTGTTGGATTGTGCATACTCGGAGGCGCAGTCTACGGTGCTTATCAGTACTGGGATGGTGACACCCCCTTCTTTGCAGCAGCTGAGTCTGATGAGAAGTCGTCAGCAGCCGCGCCGAGTTCGTCTGATGTTGTATTAGAGGAAAGTGGATCTTCACGTGTTGCGGTTAATAAACAGTCATGAGTACAGAATAGTGTACATAATACTGATAGTGATGATAGAGGTACGTCAATATTGGACCAGGTTCTTGGTAAAGTTTGTATGATCTGGATGGACTCGCCTGCCAAGAGTTGACAAGCTGCCGAATCGAATACTTTCAGTATGTATCATGGCACGAATCACGCACGACTGCCATGTATGAACACAAGTTTGTCCTGACCCGAGTCGAATATGATGCGCAAACAGTCAGTGTGGACTCTGCCCGCTCAATGCAGGCTGGGCCGCCACGTACCGCTGGAGACTGGTTGTCTCGCCGGCAGCCCGACCGAACCAAGATCAAGCCCAATTGTAGGTGTCGAAATCCGATTCTTAGTTCGCACATTCTTGAAAGGCTGGTCCCTGTTTGTACGGTTAAGTGTCATTATCGAGCCGCAACGACTCAAAAGTGCACCTCAACAACATTTCGGTTTGAAGGCCCTGGCCGGAAGCTCCACAAACTGAGCCAGGATCCGTCTTGCGCGCGCGCGCATATATATCAAACGGGAGAAATATAGTGATAGAGGCGAGGGTAATTTGTCGAGGTTGGTTCGACCACGCAACCATTCCAGTACCTAGTGCATTGCAACTTCGGTGGTGGAGAAACGAAGAGCTAGCGAGAGAAGGAAGATGCAGTATTGTTCAAGCTGGAATCATTCTTCCACTCTGAAAAAGTCTCGACTTTTAAAACTCAGTGTGCACCATTGCGGCCCGCTCCTTGACGATTTGCTCATGACGAACAAATGGAGCAAGCTTAGTCCGATACTACTGTGGTCTGCGCAATTCGCATCACAAGGCTGATGTGCAGCACTTCGAATCTTACAACGCTTGTGCATATTCTGAAGGCATACGGCTGATGACATGTCTACATCCTGCCCTCATCCTGCACCAGCAAACTTAAGCTCGAGTCCATATACTTATGCTGGCGATTGTAGGGGGAGTACGTACTCGGACCTGGAGGTAACTGTCACGATTTCTTGGCACAGTGAATCTTGGGGCCTGCAGTAGTCTGGCATCCGATACTTCCGATTAGGTATTGGATCGCAAGGTTCGACCCCGGTTCGACTTATCTTTATATCTTCTGACCCCGGCGCAGATATGAAACGAACTTCTTCTTTCTTGTTCGGTCCCGCCAGGCCCTTCGGCCCTCATGGGGCCGCCGTGCACATGCAGGAGAGTTGGGAGGACGAATCACCACAGCAATACATCAAGCTACTAGTCTCTTTACTTAGTCTGTCCCGAGCTACCTTTTTGGGAAAGCAAACTCGCCCATGAAAACGTGTGTTTAAGTACGATCATCCCACTAGCTGCCACTGAGCCAGGCTTGCCGTCAATCCTTCAACGAGCCGCCACTCAATGATATTGAGGTTATGCAGGATGTCAGCACATTATTGTCGGAGGGCCGGTTGCCGAGATTCTTCAGTCGACGAAATACTTTAGGGAAGGGGTTTGAATTCCTCGTTTCCTTCAACGTCCAAATGCAACCGCTCAGTCAGTGCTTTAGTTCCGGCGAGACGGCAACATCGCCTTCTTCCTTCACTGGGCCGTCAACTTGAAGCCTGGGCAATGGCGCATCTTGGGCTAGCTTTTCGATCGAAAGGCCCAAAGGGTAATTGAGCAGCTCCGTACCGCGCACTGCATCTCTGCATGTCGAATCGATTGCGGTAGACTGGGGCCAAACTGTTTGCCCCAATCTCCCAATGGGAACGCGCCTCAGACGTGCGCCAATTCGACAGGAGCATTTCCGAGGTGAGATTTCCGGTGGTTCCGCTGTTCCGGTAGACGACCGGAAAACTCGATTCTGGGCGCAGCGCGCGCTTAAAATTCAATAGCTGGCCATGGGCCAGGCCGGTGGATGCAGTGCCTGGTGGATGATCCCCTTCTTCCCCCCCTCTCTACATTCCTACAAATTCAATACGTGGTGTTTTGCAGATTCACAGCGCCCCTGAAGGGTTGAAGGGGAACAGCTTGACCTTTGAATTTGGACGATGGAACCAATGTCAGCGACCGCTGCTCTATCCTGCCTTAAGGGGTGTGTCGCTCTGGTAAAAGAGATCATAAAGCTCCGTGAAGGCCTTCAATTTCACAAACGAAAAAGTGTGGAATTGGTCCGGAGGTGCGAACTCCTAATGGAGTATCTGAATGACGTAATTGAGAGCGGTCCCATTCAGCAGACTGCCGCCGGAGCTTTGGAACAACTGCAGGAGCATCTCGTGAAAGCATACGAGGTGCTCCAAAAGTGCGGCGGGGGCCGCGTGTATAGGGTTATCAACTACAGGGCCATCCAAGATGACATAACAGATGTCAACACCTCCATCTCAGCCTGTCTGGGGGACTACAATTTCTTCAATAGCATTCCTCGTGCGAGCCAGCCGCATTTGAAGAGATTGAGAGCAGACGTCCGCACGTACGGGGCTCTAAGTGTTGAAGAAAGGGTGGCTGACGGGATTTCTGAGGCTGCCTCAGGAATCGAGATCGAGGAGACCAATGCGGTAGTGGAGACCATCCAAGAGCTCAGAAGGCAGGGAGTTTTCTCGGAAAGAGAGTTGGCAGCTTTTCGAGAGGAAGTGTCAGCAAACAATGCTGAGAGGGATCAGATGCTCAGGCTAGTTGGCATCATGGGAGAGGAACAGCAGATGCTGGCAGCGCAGAAACTGGCGTCGGAGGAGGAGTATCTGAGGCAGATTGCAGAGCTTATCTCCACGACAACGCAGACGACTCTGGAGCCTCCGGCACCCCCAGAAAGATTCTTGTGCCCCCTGACCCAGGACATTATGTCAGACCCGGTCATTGTGACCTCCGGACGCGTCTATGAGAGGAGTGCAATCGAGCGCTGGCTCAAGGATCATGACACGTGCCCCGTAAATTCCCATCGACCCCAAAATTCTGATTAGGGTACTGGACCTGAGGGCTGAGATTGCTGATTGGCAGTCATCCAACCAATCAGCAAGAACCCCCGTCACGCCTGCCAGCACATTACGGTTTTCTTCAAGTAATGGGGACAGAATGACTGACGAGGATCTGCCATCTAATACAATCGCAAGGCTTGTCCATGATTTACACACCTATGATCCCCCTCTCTTGTTAGAAACCCTACAACAGCTCGAGAACCTGGCGGTTGATGCGGCTAACCAGAGGGCCATTGGAGCGATGCCAGGGAGCCTGCAGAAGCTGGTGGGCCTGCTGGACAGCGAGAGCGAGGGCGTGCAATAATAAAGCAGCAAGTGCACTTTGCAACCTGGCGGTTGAAGCGGCCAACAGAACGGCCATAGCCGCGGTGCCGGGGAGCCTGGAGAAGCTGGTGGGCCTCCTAGGAAGCGGGAGCGAGGACGTGCAACAATCTGCGGCGGCTGCGCTCCGGAATCTGGCATGCAACGCGGTGATCAAGAGGGCCATGGCAGAAGTTCCGGGCAGCCTGCGTAAGTTGGTGGGTCTTCTGGACAGCGGAAACAAGGACGTGCGACAATCTGCGGTGGCGGCGCTCTCGAGCCTGGCGTTCGACACGGCGAACAGGAGGGCCATAGCAGCGGTGCCGGGGAGCCTAGAGAAGCTGGTGGGCCTGCTTGACAGCGGGAGCGAGGACTTGCAAGAAAGAGCGGCAGGGGCCCTCCAGAACTTGGCGGGCGGTGCACTGGTAAACAAGAGGGCCATTGCTGCGGTGCCGGGGAGCCTGCAGAAGCTGGTTGCCTTGCTGGAAAGTGGAAACGAGGGCGTGCAAAGAAAGCGGCGGGGGCGCTCGTGAACCTGGCGGTCGACGAGGCGAGCAAGAAGGCCATAGCCGCAGTGCCGGGGAGCCTACAGAAGCTGGTCGGTCTGCTGGAGAGCTAGAGCGAGGGCGTGCAAGAGAAAGCGGCGAGGGCGCTCGTGAACCTGGCGGCCGACGCGGCGAACCAGAGGGCCATAGCTGCAGTGCCGGGGAGCCTGCACACGCTGGTCTTCCTGCTGGAAAGTGGAAACGAGGTCGTGCAAGGCTTTGCGGCGACGGCGCTCAATAGTCTGGCGGTCGATTACGTGGCGAACCAAAGGTCCATAGGGGTAATCTCGGAAAGCTTGGAAATGCTGGTTGCCTTGCTGGGAAGCCAGAGAGAGGGCGTTCAGGGACAAGCTGCGTCGGCGCTCGGGAATTTGGCGGCCGACGAGACAAACAAGAGGGCCATAGTCGCGGTGCCGGGGAGCATGCAAAAGCTCCGAGCGCTGATGGCCAGCGACAATGAGGCAGTACGGGAGCCGGCGGCGGGGGCGCTGGCGAAGCTTGGCATGGTGCAATATATAAAGTCGATCAATATTTGTGGATTGAGAAATCTGTGAGTCTGGATTTTTTAACTTATGTAAGGGTTTTTCAGTCAAAGGCAATTGATGACAGGCCCGTAGGACTAAGCAAGGCGGGCTAGCACAATATATCGATGCCATTATAAACAACTGTGGCTATAATGGATAGAACCACGAAGCTCTCCAGCACATTCGACACTTGCCTCGTTGTAGATATGGAAAACTTACATATTTGCCATCTTGCTTGGCAAGGCTGCAGAATCAAGATAAATTGTAGCTACGAAGCTTACTTCTTCATAAATGATGTATGCTGGTCAAATCTCGACTGACGGCCCTTGATTGCCGTGCCGTGGTGCTAATATTCCACTTCGATCCGTTCAGCTATGCCATGCAGCGGGGGCGCCATGCATCACCGTCCAGCATTGAGTGAACATCACGTACGTGCCACGGTGATGCCACGCGCATGTCGGATCTGACGGTCACAGTGTGCACAAGGATCGAGCCTGCATGGCATATACCATGCATGTTGTGCGCCTTAACTAAGCTTGATTGCCATGCGGTCGGACATGATCCGGGGGCCTGTGATTCAATTTGTAAAATTCTGGCACTGTACTCGAAATTAATATACACCTATACCCGCAGCCAAGCGCACTTGAGTGGGACTTCTGGCCAGCTAAATGGTATAGGAGGGCGTTATGCAAGCCTGAGTGCACATATGGTATTGCAAACGCCTCCGAAGCAGCCGCCCCGGCCCATGGACGGTCAAGTCATCAGACGGCCAACATTGCAGGCCGGCCATGTGCAGATGTGCAAGTGATTGACAAGAGTACAAATACTGATGGATATATTTTCTGGCGGCCTACATGCATGACAGTGTATCCATCAGGTAGATTTGCAGTCTTTCTCCATTTAATAACAAAACACCCGTTGGAGCATGCTGCTCCCGGCAGTGGGCCCTGATTGCATTGCGGAATTCGGCACTCAGACTGAGTATGGATCTTGAATTTTATCAGACATGGAACTTTTATAGAGCCTGCTTGTCTGCTTGCAAGAGATGTTAGAACTTAAAAGTCTTCGACCTTTCTGAGCAGACAGTACCCCAAAGCATTGACGATTTCAATGATTCAGTCCAGAGTACGGCGACGAAACACGTTTATCAGTGAGCTTTTGCGGCTTCCTCTGCGTCCTTCCAGGCCAGCTGCAGCAACCACGGAAGGCCGATAAGCATAGAAAGAAATCCCACTGCTCTGAAAGGTGAGTTAAGACTGAAGGAGCCCGCTACTCTACCCCCGAAAAGCGAGGGAAGTGGAGAGTCAGCCAGTGCCACAGTGCGCGTACACTCCAAGACGCAATCCCTTCCATTCCGCACAACCCGTTTGTCAATCAACACAAATACGCCAAATGTTAGAGAAGACGACGGGCCTATCCCTTCGCGCTCCAGCATTAGCAGCGCAGCAGGGCCATCCCAGCTTATTTGACTGCGAGAACCGATGCATTTGAATGCTGTACCACGCATTTCGAACATTGAAAGCATCCTTATCGGACACAAAAGCTGGTTTTCCTCGAAGCAATGTTGCCCGATCGGCTTGGCCGTTCTCTGCCATCCCTGACCTTGATACTCTCCCGCTCAATTCTCCGCCGCAAAGCATTCAGAGCTCAACATCATTAATCATTTCTAATCTATACGAAGAGTCAGCCGTCCGTTAACCTCACCTTTTCCCGTTCAAGTCTCGACATGTGCTTCTTCAGCGTTCCCAGCCCTTGCCCCTCCCACGCGGCAGCGTCCTGCTTCGGGCGCTCGGCTCTCGCGGCCGCCGAAACCCCCAAACCCTGCTCCTGCGCGGCCGCCTTCTCGCGCTCAAGCCGGCTCATCTTCTTCACGAAACCCTGGCCAAACCCTTCCCCGGTCGCGCCCAAACCCTCATCCTTAAACCCTCTCGAGAGAACCGTCGTCGGCGTCAGGTCGTCCGCGCTCTCCGCCGCTTTTCGCGCCGCCTCTTTTTCCCGCTCTAGTCGCGAGGGCCGCTTAACCATGTCGCCGAGACCGCCGGCATGAGGGTTAGGGTCAACGATTAATTTTGCGGGTTTGCCGGGGGTCGCAGGGGCCGATTGCGCTGCGGCGACGGCGTCCGCTTTTGCCTGCTCCAACTTCGACAGCCGCTTCACCAGCACCTGACCCAGCCCCAGCTCCGGTTCCGTTCCGGGCGCTGTTCCGTTCTTCCTTCCGGCGGATCCGCTTAACTCCAGCTTCGCAGCGGCAGCGGCATCTGCCTTCGCTCGCTCCAGCTTGGACACGTGCTTCACCAGGTCACGTCCGAAGTCCGAGTTGGTTCCGTTTTGGGTTACCTCAACCCGCCCCTTGACCACCTTCCCGTCTTGCTCAGAATCTGCCTTCGCCGCCTCTGCCGCGTCCGCTTTTGCTTTCTCCAACTTGGACATACGCTTAACCAGAACCTGGTCAAGACCCGGTTCCGCTAACCCATCCTGACCGGCGGTGTTCCTTTTTGCCCGGTTGGCAGGGGCTCCTCTCTCGGACTCTGCTTTCGAAGCTGCAACCGCCTCTGCTTTCGCCATCTCCAGTTTGGACATTCTCTTGACCAAAACCTGGTCAAGCCCCGGTTCTGCTAACCCACTCTGACCTGCGTTCTCCTTTTTCACCACGTTTGCTGGCGCGTTCTTCTCAGCCTCCGCCTTGGAAGCGGCTTTTGCGAGCTCAAGTTTGGAGAGCCGCTTGACCAGGATCTGATCCAAACCCGGTTCTGAAACCTTCAAGCTCGGCAGAAATGACCCCATTTTGGGCGGGTTAGCGGTGGCGGTTTTCGCGGCTGCTGTGGCTTCGTCCTTTGCAACCTCGAGCTTGGACCGCTTGATGAGGAAGTCGTCTCCGAGACCGCTGGGCTTCTGGGGAGAGGTGATGCCGGCCAGTCTGCACAAGGGGGTGAAGGAGGCGGTTCAGCAACTCTCATCAACGCGGAGCGACTGGTACGATGATTTCGTGACCAATTGATCGGCACTTCTGCAAGTGTAAGAGTCGTTGGATTTAAGGTCGTTGGTTGCCAGTAGTCTAGTAAAGCTGTGACTGCCCGATCGACGCCCATGTTAGGAAGGGGCGTAAGGTCGTCACTTGCAAGAGATGGTGTATCGGCAGAAACGAGGGAGGTGCGGTTCTGAAGTATTTAGGAGATTTCTGTAAGGAAGAGTGCCGCTGCTGTCTTTTGAGCTGACCTAGGCACTGAGAACTGGTGCCGGTGCATTCTCCAGCGATACGCGTACTATGACTTTTGACGGCGTCGGCACAGAGAGTCTGCTGCGTTTGCAACGGAGACAAACTGCACACAAATTTGTCCGAAAATGTAACCACGCGTTTATCAGAAGTCTTTCGACAGATTAAAGCCTGCTATGTTTTTGCTATCGGAGAAGCAGTCCCACGACGGCCTCTTAGGCGCAGAAGAAAGCCGTAAACGGTTTCCGACCTCTCGTTCTCGAACCACAGCTCGGCGAAACGGGGTCTGCAGATATCCAGCCAGCCCGGTGCTTCACATCAACATGCTCAGCGAGCAACAAAGTTCCAGATGATAATGACTGGCAATCAGGAAAAAAGAGAACGATTCTCTTTCCCACTCGGTTGTCAGTGACGTCACCATGAAATGACCAAAGAGTGTGCCACGCAGTCCTGACAAGTCTTCCGACGAGCACAGCTTTACGTACGTGGCTTAAACGGTTGTTCAACATAGTCCACACATACCAACGGTGCGTCGAGTCGGAGGCGATTTAAATGCACTCTCTGCACCCGACGATTTTTAAAGAACGTGCGTATTTGAAAAGCATCAAGCATCTCGTCAAGCTGCATTTACCTGCTTGTCAAGGGGCTGCTCTCCATAAACCCTCCAAACCCTCTCGTCGCAACCACGCTGCCGACCGCGGCCCTCTGCTCCGCCGACAGGCCCGCCAAACGACCCACCATCGCCTCGACCAGTTCTTCCACGCTCTTTTCTCCCTGTCTAGTCGTCCCGCCCCCGGTGACCTCTTCTCCGGGCGAAGCTGCCTTCTGGGCACCCTCCAAATCCGGTTCCGGTTGCTCCCGAGCGGAATCGTGCACTTTACCGGGAGAAGCAAAGGCCAGGGACCTGCTCGGGGAGAACGCCACGTGTCCCCCCTCGTCGTCCGAATCGGACGCTTCGAGGGCGCTCGAGTAACGGGTCGCTGCCTTGCGCGGACGCCCGCTTGAGCTCCCTGGGGAGAAATCGGCAGCAAGCGGCACCTCCTTCCATGTGCCCGCCCCGTCTTTCGCCAATCCCTCATCTTCGCCCGCAAAACCAGAAGCAGACACTCCGTCCTTCTTCAGAGCATCTTTCCCAAGGAGCCCGTTATCCTCTCCCTCTTCCTCGGAGCTAGAATCCTCCCCTTCGCTGTCTTCGTTGTCTTTTCCCCGGGGCGAAATGCACGCCATGAGCAGCCCCCCGAAGCGAGAACCGGTCTTGGCTTTCGGCGGGCTGCGGGGCTCAGCTTCGCCCCCAGCTTTCGCCCCGGGGGACTTCCCCGGGATGTATGACGTCACCCCGCCATTCTTCTCGAAGGGGCTGACGTCAGAATCGACCGGAGGGGCAGCTCGGGGAACAGTTCCGGTGACTGGGGTGCTGGGAGACGCTGGTGTACCGTTCCCTCCCGCTTCCGCTGATTGTTGCCCATCTCCGGTTGCCTCCCCCGCCAAAGTTTCTGGTTCTTCGGCCCCTTCCAGCGCCGCTGACGTCATCTCCGGCCCGTTCTCAGCCCCCGGCAGCTCGCCCTCCCCCGCTGACGTCAGCTCCGCCCGCCGGAGCGCGCTCTTCACCGCGCCGACCACCTCCCGCTCGACGTCGGCCTCTGACGCCGTGCTCGCGAAGATGACGTCGCGGTAGCCCCTGGCGGCGGTTTTGGGGGCAGCGGAGTGGGGCCGCCCGGACGCGGCGGGGGAGAGGACCACCCCGAGGGCCGCAGCGGCGGACGCCGTTTCGGACGCGCGGGATTCGGCGGCTCGGGCGCGGACGGCGGCGGCGTCACAGGGGATGCTGCAAATCGGACAATGCGCTAGGTTTATGTACAGTTCAAACGAGCTGTTTCGGACGCGCAGGACTCGGCGGCTCGGGCGCAGACGGCACCGGCGTCGCAGGGGATGCTGCAGAGCGGGGTATGAGAGGCTTTTATTAAAACAGTCCAATCAGAAAGCTGTTTTGGATGCGGGACTCGGCAGCTTGAGCGCGGATGGCGGCAGCGTCGCAAGCGATATTCGATTCTGACACCACAAATGACTGGGCAATTTATTACAATAAGGCGTTCATCCACCTGCAGATTGAAGAGATGGAAGGCAGCTTCTTCGGAAAATAGAGAAAACCCTTGGTGGTTGTTGGATGTAAGTTCTTGCGCAACCTGCAAATCTGAGCCCGAGCCTGTCAAACCAAAGCGCAGCGAGCGTGACCTGCCACCTGTCAGCTTTTCACAGGCGAAACTACTGGAAGCAGCGATTTTCTCAACACGGTTGACAACTCAACGAGTACTTTGAGAGTATATGATCCCCCCTCGCCTTAGACTTCGGTCCTCTTACGAAACTGGGCTTAGAAGACTCCTGGGCTCAGACTACTTTTTCTTAGGGGCAGCGATTAGAGATGCCGAAAATCAAGATCAGCATCTTTCAACACGTGAGAGATCGTCAGCAAACTTTCGCTTCAAGGGTCAGACCACAGCACCCACTAGAGAAGGGTCTCCCTACCAAGTTTGTCTAGCTTACCTTGCTGCCTTCAGAATGCGGTATCAGCAGACCTCCACCAGTGCCAGCTTTTGGGATAGAACGATCGCCAAGCTCTCATACTTCATACCCCCTAAACAACTAGGTATGAGATTCATTTTAGTCAGGGATGCGGCACCAGCTGATCTCCACCAGCGGGAGCTTTGTGAAGAAAACATTTGCGAGCCCTCAGATGTCGTCAGTCCAACACAACTACGTAAGAGGATATATTTGAACAGGAGCTTACCTCGCAGCCTCGAGGATGCGACACCAGCTAACTTCCACCAGTGCGGCCTTCTTTGCCGCCAGTGCCGCCTCTGCTGCTGTGGCAGCTGCCGCCTTCTCCCGCTCCACCCGCGACATCTTCTTGACAAACGCCTCGCCCAGGTGCTCCTTCGGGCCCTCGCTCTCCTGTGCAAAGGATGAGGTCATGAGAATGGTTAGGTTAAATGGCAACCGGAACCTGCTTGGGTCTCCAACCATGCACTTGGGGTCCAACTACACCTGTCTACCCATTTCCCCCACTTGATTACGCGCGACTGGATGGTTAGGTTCATCGGTTACTTTGCTTGTTGACCGGAACATGCTTGGTTTTCCAATCTGGCATATGTGATCCAAGTACGCCTATTTACAAATCTCCTCCACTCTAACTACGTGACAATCTTTGTGCTTGACAAGCATGTCTTCCTTGGAGAATTGCTACCAGGAAGACAGCAAAGGAGGACATCAAACCCAAATATCGAATGTGCTGAATACTGGGTTCTGCTTCTAACTTCTAAGTTGGGGCCTTCCTCCGGTGCATCTATAGAGATAGATTGTAGAAGTAGTGTATTACGATCTCCTTTCTCATGCGTATCCGCTGAGTGGCACTGATTCTGTCTGGTGCATGGATCTTCAGGAGACAAGCCTTCCAGTACTCACTTCACTATGGGAGAAAGGCTCAGATATCTGATTGGGCAAAGGGCAATCGGAGAAATCCTGCCACAAAGCACTACCTCAGCATTTGTGCCCACCTTCCAGGTGTACTATTCAGATGTCCAAAGCTAAAACTCATTCCTTTTGGTTCCAACCTGTGCTTGCTTCTCAAAACAACATCATCACTGCGTCAGCATCTGCTCACCACTCTGTACTACCCACAGCAGCATCATCTTCTGTTCGGATAAGAGCCCACTCACCTGCATCTTCTTGATCTTGCGCTCCAGAAAGGAGTCCTTCTTGGCCCTTGGGAACCACGCCAGCGGCTCTTTCTCCTGCTCTGCCTCTGCACCATCTTCCCCCCCCTCTAGTTCTTCTCCTGCGCTGCACTCCACCCGCCTGGCCCCCGCTTTGAGTGCTCTCGTTGGCACCTCACTTTGAACACCCTCTTCTGTCTGCGCATTTGACAACCAGAGCACTCTTTTTGCTTTTCCTAGCCCTTGCCTGGCAGCCTCCCCTGCTTCACTTGGGACAATTTCGCGCTCTTCTGCAATGCTGCCATCGCTCAGGACTCCATTCGCTGAGTCGTGAATGCTGTCTCCCGTGTCATCAGCGCGCTCGGTTGGTGACACTGCATCCTCTGCCCGTCCTGCTTCTGAAGTGACGCATTCTGGCACAAAATGATCAGATTGCCCCGGCATGTTTACAATCCCAGTCAACATAGCGTATCCCCCGTCGTTGTTCCCTGATTCAGCAAGGGCGATCTCAAGGTTGGAGGGGACTTTCTGCAGGGGGACTCTCTCAGGACTTGGAGAGCAACCTGCTGCACCTGCCTTCAGCATTTCTGTTCTTGTAACTACACCAGCTGGTTCAAGGTTCTCGTGACTGACAAGATGGGACGCCATGTGGCCTATGTGGAATCATGTGCTTCTAAACAGTCTGCTGTGTTATAACCAAAGAACGGAGCTATGGAATCTGCAGCAGAAAAGGAGATGGTGTCAATGACAGAATGAAATCGTTTGGTTGCTTTGCGACTGACCTTGCACTCAGCGTGGCATTCCTAAGAAAGCTGCGCAATGGAAGCCCGGCATTGAACATAGACTGGTCGATTGACAGGTGCTCGCAGCTTGACTCGATTTCAAAGGAGTCTGTGTGATGAGTGGGCAATAAAGAAGAAGAAGCAGCAGTTAGAATGAAAATACGTGTCTCAAAAGCGACCCTCACGGGATGATATATATATGCTGGGCAGCTCACCTACAGCAAGTGCTTGGTGTCCTCTCCAAGCTGACTCTTAGCGCAAAGCAGCGCATGAACCGTAGTTCCTGCAAGTCTGCTTTGCAATGCGGGCCAATTCAGCGGCACGCACGGCTTGGCAGAAGATCCAATTCTGGACCCGCAAACACTGGGCCAGGCGCCCTTCTCAGAACAATCAAGGAGGACTCTTTTCTCTCCCTAGTGCTTGCAATTCTGGCAAATTGCAGTCACTTTCGTTGCGTGCCGCGCAGGTTCGAAGGAAACAGGAAGTCGTTGTCACGCCCGTCCCGAGGGACTCCAGCCGTCGATACTGTCTCGGCTTCGTCATAGACAGGGAGATCGACGGCCTGAATACTTTCTAATCTGAAATCCCTCCCTTCGCAAATTCTATCAAGCCTGCAGACGAATCTCTAGCAGAGCACTGATGCAGCACTGACTGAGCAGAGAAAGGCAAGCCTATAGCCTAATAGGGACGCAGGAAGAAAGTCTGCGCCGCAGTTACAAAATGGCGGCAGGGGTATGTGCTCGACTGCACCCACCTGCTTGCACCTCTGTATTACAGAGCTCAAGCTTTTTGCAGGGCGGAAGCGTGTCCTTTGCGCCCCTCTTTCCCACCTTCTCTGCACCTCATTCCAGCAAACTTTCCCCTCTGCCGAACCGGTCTCCATTGGTTGTAGCACTGGCGAAACGAAAGAAGGGTGAACGGGCTCCCCCCACTGGAGGGGGGGGCGGTGGTGGGGGTGGAAATGGAGGGGGCACCAGGTCTGCTGGCAGCAAGCAGGTGTCCCAGGGTTCGGCATACCAGAACGAGACACGGAAGATCATTCTTTCTGTTCGCAACCTCAGAAAGGTGCGTTACTTCTTTTGCACCTATTTGCGACTCTGCTTGGAGGGTGCATTGAGAGAAAATGGGACAGGATTCTTTGCATTTTGTACATGGTGGCGGCATTGAGATATTGGCAAGGAATTGAGGTTGTTGCGGTCCTTCCCACTTGCCCCCGTCCTTTTGCCTTTGGCACGGGGCCAGAACGTGGCTCCATGTTTGAATGCAATGTCAATACAAACTTTTCTTCTTCCAGGCAAATCTCAGCCAATTCGGTGATTAGGGTTCCATGTGAGGATCAAGATTGTCAAATGAACTTTTTGTAGTGGTGGTATGCGGAAACAACGTGCAGTTCAGATTCTTTGATCAAGTTTGAATGGTGCTTTTGCAGTGGTGACAGTCATAATCAGACTATTTATTGTGCTTACGAGTCGGCTGTGGGAGGGGTTTATCTTTTTGCGATTTAAGAAGAAGCCCTGCAGAGTAATCAGCACTTCTTACAACCTTTTATCAAGTTATCTCATGTTGCGCATTACCTCAGCCTGCTTACGATGCTCCTCAATATCAGAACTGCACACAATGTTCGATCCCAATAGAACTACCAACTCCAAGTAAATACGTTCTTAGCAGAGTGCTCTCATTGCATTGTTGGTAGCTGTATTTGATACGACATAAGACCAAGTGGTTCGCTGCCTGTGCTCAAGTCTGCAATTGGGATGCAGGTTACCCCCCAGGGAAAGGAGCTACTGAAAAACATCAACCTAGGAATGTACCTGGGGGCTAAAATTGGTTTCCTTGGCCCCAATGGTGCGGGCAAGTCGACGCTGATGAAGATCCTAGCTGGAGTTGACAAGGAGTTTGATGGAGACCTGTACGTTGACCCAGGCATCAAGATTGGGTACTTGGCTCAGGAGCCACAATTGACTGCCGGGGAAACTGTGATGGAAAACATTGAGGTGAGCTCAAGCGGACGACGGCGCACATGTAGCTTCTGATGGATAAGGTGCCATAGATTGTGTTTTGTCCATATTTGCAAGACTGCACTTGTAGCTCTCCGGAGACAGCGAAGTACTGCTGGAGAATTCAAACCCTGAAGGTAGATGCAGCATAAGCCAAAAGCCTGGAGCTTGTTGAACCCGAGACCTTCTTTCGTTACATGGTGTCTGAATTCACTCCTAGTTTGTGAGAATCAAAGGGTTTGGAGCCACCAGAGCTTGTGAGCATCTGAACACCCCACTTCCTTACAGCCCGAAAATCTGGCCTGGTCTATTAAATTTTCGCTCTTGGCGGGGTGAACGCACCTCTGAAGTAACAATCGGGTCAGCCTGACAGACAACCCTAAGAAAGTTCTGCTTCCCGTTCCACATCTGCGGCCGCTCGAATGAGAATTCGCATTGTTTAGCTGAGCTGTCTTCCTTCCCCTACTCTACGGCCCGTGCTTGCGACACACGCGCCCTGCTGGAGGACTTTGAACAAGTCACTTCCGACGTCGATCTCAAAGACAACCTAGCAGTATCTCCTCACATTTCAGGGCTCCCAAGTCACCCCACATCGTTGACCCACCTCTAACCCGACCTGCAACCACACTCGCTGACACCCGGGCCCTGCTGACGGACTTCGAACAAGTCAGTTCCAACATGGCAGCTCCGGGGGTGAACGTCGAGAAGCTGAAGACGAAGATGACTCAACGATTCTCTTCCTTAGCTTCCAAATTTTGCAATACACCGAAGTCAATCTACCCCGCTAAGCCAAGTCCTTCTCATCACACCCTGCGCTTGCCGGCACGCGCGCCCTGCTGAAAGATTTCGAACAAGTCAATTCCGACAATGTATCCAGAAATGGACCCAAAGCACAGTTTCTAAAAAGCTTTTCAGAAGTAACTCAAACCAACCCTCTGACCCACCCTCCAACCCAAACCCGCAGCCCGCACTAGCGGACACACGCGCGTTGCTGAAAGACTTCGAACAAGTCAGCTCCGACATGGCGGCTGCGGGGGCCGACATCGAGAAGCTGATGACCAAGATGGAGCGCCTGCAGACGGCAATCGATGCAACCAACGGGTGGGAACTAGAGCGGAAACTAACGCGCGCGTTGGAGTCGCTACGGTGCCCCCCGGGGGATGCGAAGGTTGACGTGTTGAGCGGGGGGGAGCGGAGACGGGTTGCTCTGTGCCGGCTGCTGCTGGAAGAGAACGACATCCTGTGAGTGACTCGTAATTTGCTCTGATTAATGCCGGGGGTTGTGGTGCTTGGCCTGCATTGACTTCTTGGAACGTAAGAATGATACGCTAAGAACTTGGGACAGTAAAGTAGCTGACGCTACAGTCCGGGCATACGGCCTTTCGCGGTTCCTTGGATTGTGGTTAGGGACGGCCAAGACCTTTCAGACTGCGACGCATGTGAGGATGGTGCGTTGGATGTGTCTAACTTCTTCGCATCTTCCTCTTTTTTCTGACAAGCCTGCGCTAAATTCCTTCACAGGACAAACTCGACGTGCGTTTTTTTGGACTTGAAGTCAGTCTTGTGTGGCATTCGGCCGTCTGCTATGTTCTGCACGCCGAGCGGGCACCTTCTCCCGCTACCTCACGCGCTTGGACAGCCTTTGCTTGGCGAAACTCAGGTTTCTACCAGTTGTAGAAGCGCTCACGTTTGTTGGGTGCTCGAACATGGCTGCCAAGCATGTGCAGTGGCCTCTGTACAAGTTCGTCTAAGCAACGTACTGCTGTCCTTTTGTGCTGACGTCATGGAGCCTTGGCTCTTACAGCTTCCTCGACGAGCCCACAAACCACTTGGATGCGGAGGCGGTCGCTTGGTTGGAACAATACTTGGCTCAGTTTAAGGTGCGTGACTCTTTCTTCTGGCGAAGTGAAGCTGCATTCTGTGGACGTCTGATTATTCTGAAGTGCTTCACGCTTTAGAAGCTGAACTGGGTGCAAGGAAAGGCCAGAGACTGCCCTGAACAGAAGTCCCAAAGTCATCATTGACCAGGATCTGCTTCCCAAGACTTCGGAGCATCTTTTTGATCAAGTCAAGCAGGAATTCTTCTGAATTGCGGAGCCGCTTAAAGTTACTCCTTTCAGAACCCTGGATTGCCAGGCCGGGTTATCGCCGACCCTTTCAAAATCCTGGATTCCGAGCCGTGTTTAAAGCCGACCCTTCTAGATTGCTAGATTGCCAAGCCGGGTTAAGCCAGGTTTTTTCAAAACCTGGCTTCCCGAGTTGACTGAAACAACGACCCTTTTAATGTGGATTATCGACCCGGTTTTAACGTCGACCCACTTTCCGCAGGGCACCGTGGTCGCGGTTACGCACGACCGCTATTTCCTGGACAACGTCGCGGGCTGGATCCTGGAACTAGATCGGGGGCAGGGCATTCCTTTCGAGGGCAACTACTCAGGGTATCTAGAGGCGAAGGCGCGGCGGCTGGAGCAGGAAGACAAGCAGCAGAGCGCGCTAGCCAAGAATGTGGAACTGGAGCTGGAATGGATACGGAAGAAGGCCAAGGGCCAGCAGAAGAAGGGCAAGGTGAGGGGACCGCTTTGCTTTTTGCACTCCCGGACATTTTCATCGTGTTGTGCCCTATTCTTCGGTCTGGAGCGAGATGTGATTTCGTGCTGGGTACGGTTACCAACCTGGTTATGGTGGAGACGAATGTTCCCCGAAAAGGAGGCAAAAAGCTGCGGGCTGGGCGCTGTTTGTGGTGTTGTGGGTCTTAAGTATGTTTGCTCTGTTATCTCAACGAGTGTTGTATGATGCGCCAACAACAGAGCAAACTTTCAAGGGTCACAAGGCCGGGGGCTCCGTTGCCCCCCGTTTCATTTCCCGCTTTATTCCTTTCACAACCAAGTCATTGAACAATTTTGTAAAAGTATACATCCAATCTTCAAAGAACCTGGTTGCCGTTGAAATTCCAACCTACCTGATTGTGCTAGAATCTCTTCTTATCGATCTCTACGTGCCCAGCAACAGACTTTCAGTCATCGCACTTCATTCGTGAAAACACCCTCGAAACCTCACTTCCTTAAGTTTATTTCGTAACCCTTGGCATCCCGCATGCGCCAGTACGAAGAGCTGGTTCCGCAGTCTCGGCTTAATCCAACCAAGAAAATATCCTCGAGATCTCACTTTCTAGAAACGTCATCCAACAACCCCTTGCGTCTCTTTACCCAGGCCCGCATGCGGCAGTACGAAGAGCTCGTCCAGCAGGCGAGCCAGTTTCAACGAGCAGAACGTCTGGATTCCATTCACATTCCTCCGGGTCCCCGGTTGGGCGATCTGGTGGTGGAGGCCAATAAGCTGGCGAAGGCGTATGGCGACCGCGTGCTTATAAACGACCTCGACTTCTCGCTGCCCCCGGGGGGCATCGTGGGCGTCGTGGGCGCGAATGGCGCGGGAAAGACGACGTTGTTTAAGATGATTACCGGAAGGGTGAGCACATATGGAAATTAGGAACATAGCTTTCTTGAAGATCTGCTTACCTGGTTCATCTAGAAGCATTCAACGTCGGGTTTGTTCCTTTGCCAAGACGTAGCTTATCTGCAGGAAGAAAGGGAAGAGTCAGTCAAAGCATGAGAAGCACTTCCGAGCTGTCCCTCAACGCAGCTGCCACATTTATGGTACGCTTCATCTTTGTCCGCTCTCATATTCCCAGGAGTTAGCCGTGTTATGATTCTGGTCTTTGGCCTGTTTGTTCAATTGCACGTTGGCATTGGCGATTTGACGCACACAAGAAGTTCTTCGTCCCGAACCCCCATGTAGATCATTTTGGTAGAGAACCCCAAACGGACGGAAAGTGGGGTGTTGGCTGGTATAAATTGAATCTGGGAGGAGATTACCCTCGTCAAGAACCGCGTTTCTCACTATCCGATGATAGCATTCCGCAGGAAACCCGACGGACGGAACGTTGCGCGTTGGCGAGACGGTACACTTGAGATCTGGGAGCGATATTACTGTCTCGGACAACTGATCCTAACCTTAATTCCAATCAATCTTTCCGCAGGAAACCCCAACGGACGGAACGTTGCGTGTTGGCGAGACGGTGCACACCATGTACGTGGACCAGTCACGCGACAGCCTGGACGCCACCAAGAGTGTCTACGAGGAGATAACCGGGGGGAACGAGGAGATAGCGCTTGGGGAACGGAAAGTGAACGGGCGCGCATACTGCAGCTGGTTCAATTTTAAGTCGTCGGACCAGCAGAAGAAAGTGGGCGATCTCTCGGGGGGGGAGCGCAACAGGTGGGCTGTCCAAACGGGATTTTTTATCGTGCCTCTGTGAGGGTTGTCCCAGTTTGAAGATACGAAGACCAACTTCAAGTCGTTGGACCAGCACACGAAAGTGGGCGATTTGTGGAGAGGAGCGCAACAGTGGGCTGTGCAGATGAGACTTTTTGGCGTGCATCCGTGCCTGTTGTTTCAAGTTTGAACCCGTGACGATTCTTGGAAGACCGGAAGGGCGGAGCGGCTTTTTTCGAAGGAAGAGGGGATCAGGCAATCCTCTTCGCGTTGGGGACTGCTAGCAAGCCCCCTACAGCATCGTTCGGACGGGCTCGTAAAGTCACAGCTTTCACCCTGGGTGACTAATCACCCAGAAAAGCATTTTCTGTTCGCAGGCTGCACGTACCGAAGATCTTCTGCCATGGAAGGGTTGACAACCTACGCGGCAACATTTCAGGGTCATAAGTAGTACCGCGAAATGAGCCGCTTCGGATTGTCACCCAACCCGTTCTTCTTAACCTCTTCATCGAATACCCGCAAACCCGGTTTTGTTTCGCAGGGCTGCACATGGCGAAGATGTTCTGCCAAGGAAAGATTGACAATTAAGCGGCAACATTTCAGGTTCATTAAAATCCGCAAAACGAGCCGCTTCAGTTCGTCACCCAACCCGTTCTTCTTAACCTTTTCACTAAGTACCCGCAAACCCGGTTTTGTTTCGCAGGCTGCACATGGCGAAGATGTTCTGCCAAGGAAAGATCGACAACCTACACGGCAACATTCCAGGTTCACAAGTGAAACCGCCAAACGAGCCGCTTCGGATTGTTCACTCAACCCGTTCTTCGTAGCCTTTCAATGATTACCCGGAACCCGGTTTTATCCCGCAGGCTGCACATCGCAAACTGCGACGTAAGTCTTTTCGTCTATGGGGTAAGGTCTCGGAGTCCTCTGATTACCTCAAAAGCAGCCGCTGCGGATTGTTACCCAATCCGCTCTTCTTAACCTTTTCAATAACCACCCGCAAACCTGGTTTTGTTTCGCAGGCTGCACATGGCGAAGATGTTCCGCGACGGCGGCAACCTGATGCTGCTCGACGAGCCCACGAACGACCTGGATGTCGACACTCTGCGCGCGCTCGAGGACGCAATCAACGACTTCGCGGGGTGCGCCGTGATCATTTCCCACGACCGATGGTTCCTCGACCGGCTCGCCACGCACATCCTAGCGTTCGAGGGGGACTCTCAAGTGAGTTTTGCTGCAGGCTTCCTGCTAGTTCAGATTCTGAGTTTGACTTTTGGGGTTGTCGGCTTTGGGGGGTTTATCGACTTTGCGGGGTTCCGCGACCGGCTTGCCACGCAGAGTCTGGGTTATGAAGGGGTTCCTCCTGTGACTTTGGCTGCGAGCTCTTCGATACTATAGGAGGCTTCTGGTAGCGTCAACTTTCTGAGCTTGTCGAATTGGACTTGCCAGTCAACGTCTGGCGGCTTACATTGTATCGCGACCGTTGGTTTCGACCATTGGCTCGCCCCGCACGTCCTTAAGTTCGAGGGGAGGTCTCCAGTGCGGGCAGGATTAGGCCTTTTGAGGTTTTGATATATCGGAATCGGGTTGAGGACGGCAGATCGGGTTGAGGACGGCAAAGTTCGTTTTGGGGTGCCGTGGACATCTTTCATGACCGCTGGTTCCGAAACTGGCTGCCTCCGCACATCTTTCGGTTGAGGGTAGGTCCCAGGGTCTTGGCTAGGGCTTCCAAGCTTACGGATCTGCGGTTTGCGCTTTAAAACACGGTCAGAGATTCTTCGGAGCGCGCTGTTGCATCCCGCACGACCACTGCGTCACCTTCTTTCCAAGCACAACGCTTCTTTCGAGAGGCAATCGCAAGTGGGTTTGAGCCCATTTGTAGGGTCTTTGAAATTCTAGCGGCTTTGTGCTCGGGGGTTTCTTGATCATCTAACAAGAAGTTGGACAGAGGTGCCCCCTTCTAGTGCTCTAGTTTATCGTTCTCCTGGCTTCCCATGAAGACCCACTTCATCTGAGGACTACAGAAAAGAAAGCCTGGCAATCAGGGAGCCGGTTGGTTTAAAAACACATTTCCCGATTGCAGGTCGTGTGGTTTGAAGGCTCTTATAGCGAGTACGAAGAGGATAGGAAACGCCGAAGTGGCAACAAGGAGCCTACTACAGTGAAGTTCCGTGCTTTAGCTTAGAGCCGGTCGACGAGGGTAAGTACGCAAAAGACTTACTTATTTGTACCTTGAAGGGAATCTTAGTTGGGCCCTTCCGAGCCGGAGCGCGCAGAGGGTTAAACTTTTGGTATCTGTCATCTTTAAGCGTTGCCGGTGTTTTCTGGCACTCAATCCGACGATACACATGTCTTCAGTCGGCGAAGTAACCCAAGGTCGAGCCGGCGATCATGGCGTTCATGGCCGCTGCAGATTAGCGAGTGCTTAGAACACCCACAATAACCTTAATAGAAGGGGACCGTCCCGGCCCTTATACATTGCACCGCCGCATGCATATCGTGTGCACCAGCTTACCGTACAATCCCCTTAGCATGCTCAAATGCATGTGCATGTCCCTTTTTTTAGACAGTCAATGCATACGGATTTGACTATTCTGACGGGCTCCTCGCGATATCGTGTGGGGCGGCGTGGCCAGTCGGCCATCATTCAATATCTTGCCAAACAACATCGTTCTCATGCATCATTCAGATCGGGCCCTCGTTACATGCAGTGGCCGGGCCGGCCGTATATGCTTGCCGGCCAACCCGCATGGACTGATCGCGACAGAGTTCAATCAAAGTTGTAGATCAAGCGGGATGCAACACCTTAGCATGGCGCTTGTAAAACTTGATATCTCTTGGAACATGCCTTCAATCGAATGCAGGACGTAGGCCGTCGTGACGATCCATCAACAAAACTAGGTTTAGTATGATCCGACAATATCAAATTGCGTCAACTAAATTGCGTGACTCACGACGTGGTCGACCGTCATGATCAGAACTCAACTACAGTGCATATATCTGCGAAAATGAAATAACTCTGCATGGCAACTCTAGTGTGCCCTATAACCGCAATGTGCCTTTAGTAAGATAGGCGCCCGCGGTAGCTACATGCAGCCCCTAGAGCCCTAGGGTGGGGTGGGGTGCGGAGTGGATAAGTTTTGGGGTTAGGAAGTTCAAGTCATAATGTCTGATCAAGGGGTCCACACAAATCTTATAGTACATCACATGCACAATGGCATGCAGTGTTAGGGCACACAAGAGTTACCAATAAATGTAACCGGCGGGGGCCGCCACGGATGCATACGTTTAAAGAGCAGCCAGATGACCCATTTGCTTCTGCGCGGCAGACGCCGCATGAGAATTATGACACCGTGACAAGGTGGCCTCCAATTTGGAGTATGCCGCTGCGTCACGGTGGCTCAACAACAATTGGGCAATAAGCTTCCTAAATCGCGCGCCCAGTAGCTGGCCCTCCCAAAAGCACGACCGTCGTACTTGCACATGCACATCATGCCGGCCGGGGTTCGCCGGTTGTATGATATATGTAAATTGAACTTAGTTTGACGTTAGTTTATTTGAGCATGCGTCGTACGGGTATGACAGATAGTGACTCCCTACACTTGTAGGAGCATCAGCATGCAGGCAATGCACTGCGCCCGCACTGCGGGGCGTGCCAATTGCATTCATGAAGATGGATGACCACTGATGCTTAAATTTGTAAATTGCTATATGCTTAAAAATCAGATTCTTCGCCGTGTGCTTTCACGACGTCCCACCCACAGCTAGCTAGATGCTGACGGTTGCGCAACATGATTCTAACAACAACAACAACAACAACAACAACAACAACAACAACATGAATATAAAAGCAGTGCGCTGGCCAAGCCTACCGTTTAACTGTGGTTCATGCCAGTGGCAGCCTGAGCCTTTCATGTTTGCCGCGCGCATCGACTGCCCGGCCGCCGGGCGCCGCCCTCCAAAGTTGGGTGCGGCCGCGCTGCCAGCCGCCGCCGCTAGCTGGCCGCTGCACCGCGCAATTCAATGATTGCAGTGCTGGACAATTTACACCTACCGAAACTTCCGTCAAGGAGCTTTTGTCGGCCACCCGGCACCCTTCCGGCCGCCTCGGTGGCGGAACCTCTGACTCCTGATTGACCGGGATGTCCAAATACTGTTTCCGCAGAGCCCCGGTGCATCTTAAACCACCACCCGAAAGGTACATATGGGCCAGCAGTGCTGGCCAATTTCATAACTTGAACTTCACTTGTGAAATTCAAGTTGCGCTCATGGGGCGCACGCATTTGGCACTAAAATTTGGCTCTTGTTCAGCTCTGGGCATGCCCAGATCATGCTTTCCGGTGGCGGTGTCAAGCTTAGTCGCTACATAGAGGCCTTGCAGGAAGGCGCCAGGCTTTTCAGCCCTCAAAACCACCAAGAATAGCTCCTAAAAGCCAAGGGGAGCTTTCTGGGGCCTCCAGGCCTTGTTTTTGACCGCTTCAACAGCTGGAAAAGGGAGCGCGTCCCAGCGGGGCCTGTTCCTGGCGAACAGGCTTGACACCGCTTGATTTGGTGAAGGTTTGGTGAAGCTTTTGGGTAGGGTAGCTACCCTTTACATTGTTCAAAAAGATGCGCCCCATGAGTTTCAGTTTGAATTGCCCGATCTCGACGACCGTTGGCAAGTTATGCCACGGCAGCATCGAAATTGCCCGGTTTTATAGGTTGGGTGGTGGTTTAAAGCAAAGTCGAGACTCATCATGCATGGATCCGGACCTTCCAATTAAATCGATATCGAATCAATGGTTTGTTGATATATTAGAACGCACCTATCAGGTTTACTGTACTTCTAAGGCCTTGCAAAATGCTGAGGTGCTCCTATTTCCCGTGTTATCCGCTTAGGAATCTTGCCGGGATGTAATTTTCATTTGTGCTTCGGACACGAAACACAAGTTTCACCGGTAATAAAGTATAATTAACTCGCAGGAACCAACTCCGACCCGCCGGCCGGTGTACCGGTAACTCGCCGCGAGAAATACCCTGGGATGCCCGGCGTGCTGTGATATGCCTCGGAGCCAGGCGCCGATCAAGACATATGTTGGGCAGCAATTGAACGATTCCGAAGGGGAGGACACGCGGCACCATATCGTAGGTTCCGACCCAGCGACTTCAATGAGAAGTGCCCGTCAAGTCCGGCCGAATAATAGGTACGCTCATGGTGACACTGACTCTGAGGACTGGGTCCTGAGCAACTTTCCTCTCGAAGTCGGCAGTGGGCTAGAGATCAGATCGGATACCTATGTACCTAGCTACCTACCTATATTGCACACTGGGTACCGAATACAGTCATGATGCCAGCTCACAATCGTCAGCAGGATTCAGTCCTCAGAGGCGCTCACAGGAGTTTACGGCGGCACAATCGCCCTGAAGGGGCCAAATGCCTTTCGTTCGTGAGAATGCTTTACTCCATGCACCTTCAACAGCTGTGCCCATGTCGTCCTGGTACGAGCCTGGTACATAATTCGAGCTCTCGAAGCTGACGCAGCAAGGAAAGGCCCGTCCTGCCATCAAAGCACAGGACGGAGCTTGTACGGTTAACATTGGTGCAAGGTACACCATCCTTCTATCCGTGAGCTGGCTAGGAACTTGAGACGACGTCCATCGCAGTCAGTAGTGTCCTTGAAGCGGCACTGGAATCGGCTCAGTATGTACGCTACTGGAGGCGGCAATCAAATGCCTCTGATATCTGCTGGGAGCTGGCGTCAAACCTACGAGTTGTCCCTTCGCACATCTCATTCCCAGTTGTCAATCAATCTGTCAATCAGCGCTGCACTAGCAGCTCCTTCTCTTCTCCTTGTCCCATCGGCGCGCGCTTCTCCCCGCCAGCTGCAAAGTAATCCGCCCAGCAGTGTCCCTCTCCGGCGCTCTCACCGACTTCTACAGCTGTCGCCCAACCCTGCCAGCTGTCACCATGGCTTCCCGCCAGCTGTCAGCCCTGCTCCTAGTCCTGGCGCTCACCGCCCAGGCGGCGTCCGCTAACTACGTGGGTTACGTCGACCCGTGCTCTGGAAGTACCACGAACAAGTGCAGTGCGGCGGCGCTGGGAACATACAACCCGCCTGGACTTACGAGCTGCAACGGAATTATCGTGAGCTGCTACACTAGTTACACCAATGACGGCAAATGCGGGAGCACAAAAGACACCACCTGTCCGGCGTGCGTCGTTAGCGGGAACACGGTGACTCTTAGTTGCACCAACAAACCCTCGGGCGGCCAGTGTGCCAACACAAACCCTGGTGAGGGAATTTCTTTTTTAAAGTTCGTGGGCGCAATGTTGGGGGTGAACTTGGACGGACTGAAGTGACTGAGAAGCGCAGCTTTGTGCGTACCTGGAGCAGGAACTGGTTATATTTGGAGGAGCATCATCTTTGCGCGCTTTGAAGGATTTGTTTTTGCAGATTGTGCTTGTACGATGGCAGCAGCGGAGTCGGAGCCCCGTTTTGCATGGTAGCGGGGGGTCAATTGCCTATCTACAAAGTGCCAGCGAAAATGGGCTAGCTCTGCTTCAATTCGTTTCCCTTGTCCTTCAAGGCAGCGCTTTGTCCAGCTGCCTCGACCTCCCAAGAAAAAGACGTCTGTTTGGCAACCCTCTACGCGCATTTATCGACTGGATAATGTGCTGCAGATCAAAGAATCTTTCTTCTCAACAACCTGCGAGGGCCTCTTCATAAGATACTGCCACTTCTGGGAGGCTTGGTTGTCAATCTCTTTGACACTGCAAACCAAGCAGAGAAGACAGCCGGGCGCATTTAGCCATTTGCAGGTGACTTGTCAGGTCTCGTTATTTTCCAAAGACCATCTTTCTCTGCTTGCATTCCACACCAGCTTCCAGAACTATTGTACCTTGCCTAACAGAGCTCCTCACTGAAAAGGTCGCCCCTTTGTGTGCAGTCCAATACAGCGGGACAGCTGTCTGTGGCGACCCGCACTTTGCGGCCCCCGGCGGCATCTTCTTTGACTGGCACGGCGTGCGCGACCAGGTCTTCAGCATCATCTCTGACACCAACTTCCAGGTAAGAAGCTTGAAAGCAATTCGGAGGCAGGGCTGGTGTCAAGACAGGCACCAAAGCTGCCACCTTTGACGACTATTCAGAGTGGGGTCATGGTCTGAACTTCAAATGATTGCTGATTTGACAGAGACTGCATGTTAGTTTTGATTGACCCCACCGAATTAATAAGCCACAATGCTGCCTGAATCTTCAGCATGGTTTTGTGATGTGTCAGGGATCTGAACATGGCTTCCTTGCGCCTGGCATTCGTACAGTTGGGTCTCTTAGTTGCCAAGGGTCAGTCAAGGTTTTGTAGTGGGCTGCTGGTTGCTAGTACCTCCACATTCTTTGCATCTATGCAAAAAGTAGATATTAAGATAATAAGTCGAATGTCTCTAACTTTGTTTTATGCTACCGGCCTGTTGCCTAGTGGTTGTTGCGCATGCATGCACACTTAGATGGCGAAACCAGACGATGAAGTCCAGCTGTTTCATGCCTCGTCTGGACGCAGTTGCCTCTTTTCTAGGCAATCCCACGCAACGTTGTCCGATCTAAAGGTGCCTCAACACAAAACGGCCCTCATTTCTCGCACACTGTAGTCTCCCGATATCACCAGGTTCGGATTGTCCTGTCTGCCGCTTTCTAATCAGGTTCCACCCCCGGTTTTAATCCCAGAAACCACCTCTGTTGACATCAGTCCTGCAGTTGTCATAGACTACCTCTTTTGACGTCACCCTGCAATCGTCAAGTTCTAATTGACCTTTCTATGATGCTTTGTTTCTCCCTCATGCAGTTCAACGCCCGGTTCATCGGCGAGCGCACCGACACTCAGAACGTCGAGCACGGCACCTGGATGGAGGTAAGCCAAGGGCCCATCCTTTCGAAGGGATCCCTCCCGGGTTTCGCTCTGACGAGTTTGGCCCCCTACCTCCTGCCCCCCCCTCCTGCTTCTCCGCACTTCTCGGGTAGACGGGACGGATGGAATGACCAGAATCCAAACTTCAACCTGTCTCTGGCTTGTAATTTTGTGCGGGTCGAAGGGAAAGGAAGAATCTGAGCGACGTAGTTGCCCCCTCGCTGAAGTGACG